CGCGCCGCACGGTGTCTTCCAGGGCCCGCTCCCGGGACGCGCGGCGCCCGGCGGAGTCGCGCGTCGCGAGCCGCGCGGCCGCCGCCGCCGCGGCCTCCCGGGCCTCGCGCGCCGCGAGCTCCTTCGCGTCGGCCTCCGCGGCCTCCGCCAGCGCGATGGACCGCGCGGCGTCGAGGTCCGAGGCGCCCGGCGAGTCGGAAGGCAGGCGCATGAAGGGGTCGCCGTCCTCCGCGGGCGCGAGGATCGCCGCGAGCAAACCCTCGTCCTCGAGCTCCTGGATCGCGTCGTAGGCCCCCAAAAGCTCGTCGCCGAGCGAGAGGCAGGGCAGCGCGTAGGCCCGGCCCGCGAAGGCCTCGAGCTGGCGGCGGCGCCGCGGCGCGATGTCCAGGTAGACGGTCTCGTAGCGCTTGCCCTTGGACGCGAGGAGGTGGCCGAGGCGCCGCTCCGCGGACTCGGCCATGGCGCTCGCGTTCGTGCTCGACGCCCAGACGACGAGCAGGGGGCCGAGGGCCGTCGCGAGCGAGTCGAGGCTCTCGGACCGCGCGCGCTGGCGCTGGGCCGCCGCGCGCGCGGCCGCGTGCGACGGGAACGGCGCGCCCGAGGGCTTCGGCGACGCCGGGCCCGACGGCCGCGCCGCGAGCGGCGCCGGCGGCGCCGGCGGCAGGTCGCGGGGCACGCGCGCCGACGGTGACCGCGCGACCGCCGCGCGCGCCGACGGCGACGGCAGCGACCGCGCGGACGGCGACGGCGCGGACAACGTGCTCGGCCGCTCGTCCCAGTAGGCGTCGAGGAGCGCGGGGCGGCTCACGAGGATGGCCACCGTGTCCCCCACGCGGACGCGGCGGTCGCCGAGGCGGCTCAGCACGCGCTCCTTGGGCCAGTTGGAGATGTCGTCGTCGCCGACGCCGACGAGGACGTCGCCCTTGAGGAACGCGACGGGCGCGGACTGGAGCCATTTGGACACTCCCGGCGAGTGGTCGTGGACCTTGACGGGGAAGACGAGGGGCGCGGGCGCGCTGAGCTTGAGCTGGCCCGTGACCTTGTCCGGCACGACGCGGAGCCCGAGGCCCTCGTCCTTGCTTTTCGTCGCGAGGCCCCGGAAGGTGCAGGCGCCGTGCCTCTTCGCGTCCTCGCGCTGTTTTCGGGAATAGAGGATGGACGCGCGCGCCGCGTCGTGGCGCGGCGACGGGCCCGCGGCGGCGTAGGCGCTCTGGATCGCCTCGAGCGAGAAGCTCGCCTTCATCGACGGCGTCACGAGCTCGCCGGGCGTCGCGAGGCCGAGCGCGTAGTAGTCGTCCTCCGTGTCGACGCACCGGCGCCGGGGGCCGAAGTTGGGCACGTGGCCGTGCGACGCGTACTCTAGGGCCTCGACCCAGAGGCGCTTTTGCGTCGCGTCCTCCGCGCGGAGGATGAGCTCCTTCGAGTCCTTCGACGGCTTGACCCAGAAGAGGTGCTCCTTGCCGTGCGCGTCGGGGAGGTCCGCGACCTCCGCGCCGAGGAGCTCCACGGTGCCCTTGGCCTTGCCCGCGGGGCGGCCCGCGCCGTCGAAACTCGGCTCGAAGTAGGAGAGCGTCGTCTTCTCGAGGAGGAAGTAGCGCTCGAGCCAGTTCTTCCGCCCGAGCTTGAACGTCGACGACCCGAGGCCGCTGCCGCCCTTTTTCGAGAGGAAGCCGTCCATGTTTTGCCTCGACGCGTCTCTAAACGTAGGGGGCGACCACCGATGTCGGCGGCGAATCCTGTTGGCAACAGTGTTGCTGAGCGAGCGTGTTTGTGGCAGCGCCGTGAGCATCGTGAGCGCCGCCTGTTCCTTTTCGCCTTGAGGCGTCTCTAAACGTAGGGGGCCCGGGAGGAACCGCGGGCTGTTCCTTTCGCCATCGGCGTTCGCGGACGCCCCCTGGCCGCGATGGAATCGTTCAAGAGCATGGAGGGGTACCTGCACAAGAAGGGCGGCTCCAAGAGCAAGACGAGCGGGAGTTTCAGCCTCCTCGGCCGGCGCAACTGGACGCACCGCTACTTCTGCCTCGAGGGGGCGGAGCTCACGTACTGGAAGACGACGGGGGGCAAGCGCTTGTCCGCCCCCCAGGGCCGCGTCGTGCTCGGCGAGGCGGAGCTGCTCGACGCGACGATCGACGGCCGCGACCACGCGTTCGCGATCAAGAAGCCCTCCGGAGCGATCGTCTGGTTGCAGGCGGAGTCCGCGGCGTCCAAGGCGCTCTGGCTCGACGCGCTCGCCAAGGCCTGCGCGGCGCGCGCGAGCATCGACCTCCCGAAGGTGTCCCCCGGGCGGCTCTCCGACGCGTCGGCGCCGTCGCCGACGCGGCCGCCGGCCCCGTCGCTCGACTTCGGGTCCGACTTCGACGTCTCGGGCGGCGAGGAGGACAAGGACGGCGGCTGGCGAAACGACGAGGACCGGCGCACGCCGAGCCCGCACGCGCCGGCCGTGGCCGTCGCGCCGCCGCCGCCCGCGGCGCGCGCGGGCTCGACGCCGCCGCGGCCCAAGGCGCCGCCGAACACGCCCGAGGTCTTCACGGCGCACGCCGCGGCCGCGCGCGCCGCGACGGGCGCCGCCGCCGAGGAGGCGGCGCTCATCGACCGCCTCGAGGCGGCCCTGCCGTCCCTCGAGCCGAGCCCGCGGTCGTCGGCCGCCGAGAGCCCCCGCGAGTCCGCCGCGCGCCGCAGCGTCGAGTCGTCGGACTCCGCGTCGTCGACGCCGGCGAAGGACAGCTTCCGCTTGAGCCTCGCGGAGAGCGACTTCGAGTACAGCGCGCGCCGCGGCAGCGTCGAGCCCGCGCCCGCCGCGGACCGCCTCCCGACGCCCGAGCCGCCCGCGTCGCCCGCGCCGCCGCCGCCCGCCGCCGCCGACGAGGACCTCCCGCTGCCCCCCGCGGCCGCCGCGCGGCTCGCGGCGCTCGAGGCCAAGGCCCCGGGCGCGGGCGACTCGTCGCGCCTGAGCCTCGCGGACTCGGAATTCGAGTTCTGAGCGAAGATCCGCGTAAACCCCAAAGTCGATTACGCCGAGGGCAGTAATGAACTTCGAGTTCTCAGTTCTGTCTCGGAGAAGACCCGGCTGTATGTGAGATCTACGCGCCCGCGGTGCACCAAAAGAGGACGCTTACGCCGAGGGCAGCGCCGCGCGCAGCCGCGCGAGCGTCGCGCGGCAGCTGCCGCTCTCGAGGACCGGCGGGCGGTCGCGGCAGTCGCCCGCGGCGTAGGAGTAGCCGCGGATGCCGACGAACTCCATGTCGACGTTCGGCTCCGCGTGGTCGTCGCCGAACTCGGCCATGCGGTCCTCGGCGTCGACGAGGGCGACGACGAGGCCCCGGACCGCGCGCGGGAAGCGCAGCGCCGCCTCGACCGCGCCGCGCTCCCTCTCCCCCCGGCGCCGCGCGCGGACGCCGGCCTTGTCGTAGAACGCGAAGACGGCCACGGGAAAAAAGTCCGCGTCGTCGTCGTCGCCGACCAGCTCGACGACGTCGCCCTCGGGCCCCCGCGTCGTCCGCACCGCGGCGCCCAGACTCCCGACGGAAAAGCCCGGCGCGTCGTCCTCGCCGTCCGGCGCGGCGCCGGCGCCGAAGCCCGCGGCGAGCGCGTCGTCGCCGACGAGCGACGGCGCGAGGGCCGCCACGTCCGCCGCCGCCGCGGCGATGCGACGCCGGAGCGGCCCGCCGTCGCGCAGGTCCCGGGGCTCGGGGCAGCGGCGGCAGCCGAAGAGTACGCCCGTGCGGGCCGGGCACGAGTAGGACGCGGGCCGCCGCACGACGAGGCCCGTGGCGATGGCCGTCGACGGCGTCGCGGCCGCCGCCGCGGCGTTGGCCGCCGCGGCGCCCGCGGCGACGGCGCCGTCCGCGTCGACGCCGCCGGCCGACTCGACCGAAACGTCGCCGAAGGGCGGCTCGCGCCACCGCGGCGGGATCTCGCCGTCGTCGAGCGTCCCGACGGCGTCGCCGCGGCCCGCCGCGGCGGCCTCGACGGCGTCGCAGCGCGCGCGGATCGCGCCGAGCGCCGCCGCCTGCGCGTCCGGGTCCCGGACGTCGCGGACCATCTCGCGCCTACCAAGCATGACGGTGACGATTTCTCATTGGTTTCCCACCCCAAATCTCTCGAAAAGACCGCAGGACGCTGATCTCCCGCAGCCAGCCCTGCGCGTCCATCGCGCGCGCGATTTCGTAGAACGTGAGTTCGAGCGCGAGCGGCGGCTCGGCATCTAAACCGTTCTCCAGGAAGTCGTCGCCGAGCAGGCGGCCCGCGACCCGCAGGCGCTCGAGCATCCAGTCGCGGTCGTCGTCCCGGGACGCGTCCGGCGCGTCGCCCTCGAAGACGGCCGCGCAGAGCACGAGGCGGCGCGTCGCGGCGCTGCTGTAGACGAACCAGGGCTCGGGCCGGAACAGCGCGTCGACCCAGTAGGCCATCTGGCCGTCGTCGACGCCGCCGTCCGTCGCCAGCCCCCGGAACGCGAGCGGCTCGCCGCCGCCGAGCACGCGCTCGCGGAAGAGCCGCAGCGCGGCGAGCGTCCGCAGCGCGCAGCGCGCGTAGCGGCAGCGCGCGTCGGCGGGCGCGAGTTTCAGGCCGCCGTGCTCGCGCCGCACGGCCTCGCCCCAGAGGAAGGCGTCGCTCTCCAGGGCCTCGAGGACGGACGTGCCCAGGCCCGTGAGCAGCACGGTCTCGCGCGCGCGCAGGAACGCGCAGACCTTGGCGAGGCAGTCGCTCGGCAGCGCGAGCATTGGTCTTTGATGCTTTTGGCGCTGCACCTAGGCCACAGCTCCAGCTCCCATCATGGCGCCGGGTTGCCTGGCCACCTTGTCAGACTTTGCCATGCCTCGTGCCTGCGCGGCCACGGGCGGGGGTCCGAGACCGGCGCCGCGACTCCGCGAGGCAGGCGTCGAGGCCCGCGACGCCGCCCGCGACGCGGCGCCGGACATCGTCGCCGACCCACACGCGCAACCCCAAAAGAGACACCGCCGCCCGAAGCGATCGCTTTAAGAGCCCTTTACGAGCCGCCTTCACCAGGACGTGTCGAAGCGCGCGAGGTGGACCTGCGTGTCGCGGAGGTCCGTCTGGACCTTCTTGCGCTTGTAGAAGACGGGGCAGTCGGAGTTGGAGCAGAGGACGTCCTGGTGGAGGCTGCCCTGGCAGCGCTGGCAGTTGGTCCAGAGCTTGGCGAAGGTCCGCTCGTGCGCGTTGACGTCGCGGACGCGCTTGAGGAAGATCTCGGGCTCGCGGGGCTTGCAGTGGTCGCAGACCGTGCCCTCGTCGATCTTGGCCTTGCAGCCGAGGCACTGGAGCTGCTTCTTGGCGAACATCATGATGCCGCCCTTGCGCGCGACGGGCGTGGGCTTGGCGACGACGCGCGTGTGGTCGCCGTGGAGCAGGTTGCTCGTGTTGGGGATGATGGGCTCGAAGATGCGCGTGAGGGGCTTGGAGAGCTGGTTCTCGAGGTAGTAGCTCGCGTCAATCGGTAAGTTGTTCTCGAGGACGTAGACGGGGTCCTCGGACTTGTCGTACGTCGCCGTGCCCTTGGGCGCCTGGACGATGACGTAGGGCACGCGGTCGCCGACGTTGGGCGCCGTGCCCGGGTCCCGGGCGCGCATGCGCTTGGCGAGCTCCGCGTGGCCGCTCTTGGCCTTGTAGTCCTTGGAGTCGGCCTCCTTGGAGAGCGACTTCGTGATCACGAGGAGCGAGATGTCGATCTTGTTCTGGAGGAGGTCGCCGATGGCGCGCTTCGCGTAGGCGATGGCCGCGTTCGTGTCGCGCTCGATGATGATCTTCCGCAGGCAGCCGTCGATGAGCTGGCGCACGAGGAGGCAGTTGTCGCGGCGGACGGTCTCCAAACCTTTGCAGTCCATGTAGTCGTGCGTCTCGGGCCGCGTCCACAGCAGGCCCGCGTAGCGCTTCTTGTTCATGAGGAGGTAGGGGAAGTAGACCTTCTCGAACTCGAGCTTGACGGGCGGCGGGAAGATTTTCGTGACCTCCGCGGCGACGACCTCGGCTTTCGGTAAAGTCGCGGCGACGTCGCCGAAGCCGAAGTTGACCATGACCGAATCCGTGTCGCCGTAGACGACCTCGGCGTCGGCGGCGTAGCCGTTCTCTTTGGTGTAGGTCGACTCGACGAAGTCCTTGGTGCGGTGGAGGAGCGTGCGGCCGTAGGCCGTCACCGTCGACGCGATGGGCAGGCACGGCAGCTGGCCGACGGCCGCGCCCGTGAAGCCGTAGACGGAGTTGGCGCTGATCTTGAGGGCGAGCTGGCGGCCGTTCTGGACGGCCTTGTCCATGGGGTCCGTCGCCTTCTTCATGTCGGCCTTGGCGCGCTTCCGCGCCGCGAGGAGGTCCGCCAAGATCTGCGGGAGCACGCCGCGTTTCGTCTTCGCGGTGACGAAGTGGTGCACGCCGTCGACGCACTGGGGCCCGGCCTGGTAGGCGGTGTCGGCGCCGCCGGGGAAGTGGCGCTCCGCGTCCTGCTTCGTGAGGATCGTCGAGTAGCAGAGGTTGTAGGCCTGCATGATCGACGGGTACAGCGACGCGAAGTCGAGCGTCGCGATGGGCTCCTCGTAGAAGGCCTTCTTCGGCTCGATGACCGTGGCGCCCTCGAACTTGGCGTCGCCGTCGTTGCCGTGCTTCGCGAGGTTCGGCACGAGCAGATTCGACGCGCGGCACCGCCGGAGGAGCATGCTGAAGACCTTGATCTGCTGGCCGCGGCTCAGCAAAAAGTCGAGGGGCACGCCCGTCACGCGCGCCATCTCCACGTAGTTGATGAGCACGGCGAGCTTCGTCATCAGTTGGATCACGAGGTAGGAGTCCTTGAGGCAGTAGACCGCGAGGCGCCGCCGGTCCTCGTCCGTGCCCCGCTGGAGATCCGCGATGATCGAGTGGTGCACGTCCTCCTTCTGCGACCCTAGGAACTCGGCGCAGACCGAATTGAGCGAGTAGGACGACAGCTTGTGGTTGCGGAACATGTAGGGCAGCAGGTCGAACATGACGCGGCCGTCGACCGTCGTCTCGACGTTCTCGCGCTTCCCCATCTGCGCGCTCTGGATCGACGTGTCGCGCATGCGCGCGTGGGACCCGAGCACGCGGCCGAGCTCCGAGAAGGCGGCCAGCGACGCGTCCTTGCGCTTCAGCGTCTGGGCCCGCTTCAGCAGGTAGGGGATGTCGAAGTTCTGCGTGTTGTAGCCCGTGATGATGTCCGGGTCGACGAGGCGCACGAAGGCCGCCCACTTCTTGAGGAGCTCGGGCTCCGTCTTCGACGTGACGACCTCGGCGCCGTTGATGGCCGTGCAGCCGTCGAGCGTGAAGATGACCTGGCACATGGGCTGCGCGGCGCCCTGGACCTGGACGACGCACGAGATCTGGATCACGGGGTCCTTCTCCGGCTCGGGGAAGTGGCCCTTGCGGCCCATGCACTCGATGTCCGTCGCCATGATGCGCAGCGGCGCGAGCTTCGCCCAGGGCCCGTCGGGCGCGTGGGAGACGAGCGAGTCGAAGACGACGTCGATCTCCAGGTCGCACCGCGTCTTCTTCGCGCCGCCGGACCGCGCGGCGTAGGCGCCCGCGGGCGCCTCGACCCAGTTGCAGCCCTGGATCTCGTTGTCGATCATGAAGCGCAGGATGAAGGGCACGTTGCTCTCGAAGGTCTGGAGCTGGCTGTGGCCGACGCCGGGCACGTTCACGCCGTCCTGCAGCACCTTCTTGAGCGCCGGGATCTGCGTCGGCAGGGCGACGTAGATCTTGAAGAAGCAGGCCCGGGCGCCGTCGGGCTGGTAGCCCATGATGGACCGCTTGTCGCGCACGACCTCGACGCCGAGCACGAGCTGCGCGCACGCGCGGTCCTGGCCCCGCGAGCACCGCTGGCGGAGCGCGCCGTCCAGCGCCTGCTGGAGCTTGGCGACGTTGCCCGCGTCGCTCTCGTCGAAGGCCAGGGGCGCGCTGGAGAAGCAGTAGGGCGTGAAGCCGTGGCAGTGCGCGCAGACCGACGCGCCGTCGCCCGTGACGCCGTAGAGGCGGACGACGGGCACGGGCCGGTTCCGGCTCCCGGGCACGCGCTGGCCCTGGCGCGGGTGCGTGGCTAAAGGGTCGCCCGTGTACATGTCGATGGACGTCCACTGGAACGCGACGGTGCCGCCCGCCTTGGGCTTGGGCCGGAGGAACTTGGTCTCCCAGTCGACCTCGTCGACGGCCATCTGGCTACCGTCGCCGCCGGCCTCGCGGATCTCGTCCTCGAATTCCTCCAGGACGTCGTCGGGGATGTCGTCGAAGTCCATAATTGACGTGGGCGGGCGGCGCTCGGCGCGTTGGACTGGAAAGGCTGCAAGGTTTCAACGAGCGGTGTCGAACGAGCGCGGGGTCCCGCGCCGCCGCGTTTTCGCTGCGCGCGGCACGACGAGTGCTTGAATAGGGCGTGTGCGACGACTGACGGCCTCCAACTGCACGGATCGAGCGGCCTGCGGCGCCAACTGCGGGCCAAGGCGCTCTCTATGCTGCTTTGAATTGCTCTGCGAACTCGGGAGCCTCGCCGGGGGTCGCTCGCGAGTCCAGGCCCTTACGCCGAGTCCGAGTCGTGGAGCCCCTCGTCGGGCGGCGCGAAGAAGGCGGCGTCGGTCTCGGCCTTGGCGACGGCGGAGAAGGAGAGGAGCCGCGCGCCCGCGGGCAGGGCCGACGCCTCGTCCTCCGTCTCCGACGCGTCGCCCGGCTTGGGCCGGAGCTTCGCGGAGAGCTTCGCCGCGGCGCCGCGGCCGCCGTCGAGCTGGGACTTGATGAGGCGGTCGCGGCCCTCGGCGAGCCAGGACGGCAGGTTCATGCGGAGGTCGTCGAACTCGCCCGCGAAGCGTCCGTGCGCCTCGCGCGCGCACCGCTCGACGGCTCCCAGCGCGCCCGCGGCGTCCGCGGCGTCCTCCTCCGTCGCGGCGAGGGCGTCGGCGACGGCGTCCCAGGCGCCGTCGAAGGCCGACTTGGCCCGGCGCTTCTCGATGGACCGGCCGTAGGACGCCGTCGCCCGGTCGTAGGCGGCCCGCGCGGCGCCGAGGCGCCGGTCGATGTCCCGCACGACGTCCGCCGCGGCGCGCACGGACTCGAGGACGCCCAGGAGGTCGTCGACGGAGTCGATGTGGCGGTCGTAGCCCTCCATGAGCGCGGACGTGACCTCGGGCGCCTCCTGCCCGGGCGACAGGTCGAGCCGCGCGTTGAGCGTCGCCGCCTCGTCGAGCGCTTTCTCCGCGGCGACGCGGGCCCGCGCCGACGCGCCCCGGAGGCCCCGGAGCGTGCCCTCGGTGTCGCGCGCCCACGCGGCGGCCTCGTCCGCCAAAACCTCCGACGGCGTCGGGTCCGCGCCGAGGGTCAGCGCGCCCCAGGCGCTCGCCGGCGCGCCCGGGAGCCTGGCGCCCTCGAGGTCCGGCAGGTCGTCGCAGAGCACGAACTGCGCGAAGAGCGGACTCGTCTTGAGCGCGCCGTGCGACAGGAGCCGCTCGAAGAAGAGCGTCGCGGCGCGTACGGAGCCGCCGCGCAGCGCCGCCGTCACGGGCGGCACGACGCAGCCCGGGTTCTCGACGTTGAGCGCCCGGCCGAGGGCCGCGAAGTCCGCGGACGTCCGGAGCACGCCGCGCGGCGTCTCGCGGCTCCGCCGCATCGTCGCGGCGATGGCGAAGGCCGCGGGCGGCGCGGCGCCGAAGAGGCCGCCGGCCTTCCGGGGCGCCCCGGGCGGGTCCGCGGACGACACGACGACGCTCTTGACCTGCGCGAGCTCCGCCTGGGCGCGGGGCGTCGTCGTCGTGGCGTCGTCGTCGTCGGGCGGCCTCTGCGGCGGACCGCAGAAGTAGAGCGCGCAGGACGTCTGCGCCGTGGCGTCGTCCTCGGCGAGGGGCTTCGCGGGCGTCTTCTTGGGCTTCGGCCGCGCCATGGCGCGCATCGGTGACACCGATGATGCGGCCATCGGAGTGCCTGTTGTGTATGCGTTCACTTTCAACCCGTATCCGCAAGTTATCCGCAACGTGGTTATACCGCGAAGCTATAGGCTGCCCGCCGGTTCAGGTCTGGTTCCCGCGGGCGCGGGTTCGTCCGACGCGACCGCCCGCGGCGCCGCGGGCCGCGCCGCGGCCGCCCCGGGCACGATGACGACGACGTCGCCGCGGCGGTCGACGATCGGGATCCTCCTGGGCCTCGGCAAGGGCGAGGACAAGGCGAACGGCGCCAAGTCGCCGCGGTCGAAGAAGCTCGCATCGACGCCCATCAAGGTCGCGCCGAAGGCGCGCATCGTCGAGATCCCGACGGGCCCGGTCGGGGTCATCTTCGACGGGGACAGCTGCCCGCCGCGGATCTCGCGCGTCGACGAGTCGAGCCCGCTGCGCGGGAGCCTGCGCGTCGACGACCAGGTGCTGTCCTTCACGCGGCCGGGCATGGAGCCCGTGACCTGCGAACAGATCTGCGGGCGGGACCTCGTCTTCGCGCTGAACCACTTCAAGGACGTGCCCGGCCGGTCCGTCGAGATCGGCGTGCCGCGCGTCCAAAAGCTCGCGATCCAGGAGGGCGCCGAGTTCGACTGCCGCCTGCCCCCGGGCCGCCTCGGCGTCGCCTTCGTCAACTCCGTCGTCGCCAAGGTCAACGCGGACAGCGTGCTCTTCGGCCGCGTGCAGCTCCGGGACGTGCTCCTCGCCGTCGACGGCGAGCCGCTGCCGTCGCAGGACACGGACAAGATCATCGCCTTCCTCTCCGAGAAGGACGACGGCATCCTGCACCGGTCCCTGACGCTGCGCCGCGGCGACAAGAGCGGCCGCGCGGCGACGCAGACGGCCGACGGCACCGTGTTCCGCCTCGGCTACATCGACACCAAGGCCAACACGGGCGCGACGAACCGCAAGCTCTCCAACTTCGGGCCCGACGACGGGCCGCCCGAGGGGCTGCGACCACCGGAGACCGTCGACGACTCCTGCATGGTCCGCGATCTGAGGGAGAGCCCGCCGGGGTAGGACCGGGGCTTCGTAACGGGGCCTTTCAATTCGTCTTGTTTGACCGGCTTGGGGGCGTTTTGTGGGGGAGAACGTCGGTGATTCGGGGTACTAGGGGCGGTGCGGGGTTGGCGGCGATTCGCGGGGGAGCCGCGGAGCCTCTGCGGAGCATCGACCCCCGGCGAGACGGCTCGAGATTACGTCGATTTTGCCAGGCACTTTCCCCAGCTCAGGCCGGTCGCAACCACGGTGCGACGACGGCTTCCGCCCCTCCCCGCGCGTCGCCGCTCTCCCCCGGCCCTCTCCGCCTGCCGAGCACCAACTCCACCGAAGCGCAACGCGTTTCATGGCGCTTGCGTCGCGCAATCGCCTCGGCCTTCTTGGCGTCGCATCCGCGAAGGCTTGGCGAAGGCCTACGCCTCGGCCTTGGGCATCGCCTGAGCCCGGCGAGGCCCCTGCAAAGCCACTGGCGCGCGCCGCCTCCTCATCCCGCCTCGCTCTCCTCGCGCGCGTCTCCGTTCGAACCGCGTCGCCCCTCCGCAGCTACCCGCAAGCGACCTCGAGTTCGCACACCAGCAATCAAAGCAATCATGAAGACCTCCGCAATCCTCGCCCTCGCCCTCGCGGCCCCCGCCGACGCCGCGGGCCGCCGCCTCAAAGAGAACCTCGACATGCACAAGTTGCTTGATGCCGGGAAGCAGGGCCGCGTCGGCTCGAAGATCAACTTCAAGCTCGACAAGGCCCACAAGCTCGTCAAACGGGGCCACACGGCCGACCTCGCGACCAACATCGCCAAGAAGCTCCACTGCGCTCCCCCCAAGCGCAAGTTCCGCGACGCGGGCAAGCACGAGGCGTCGCAGAAGGCGTTCGGCCTCGACATGTGGTACGAGACCAAGTGCGCGCACGAGACCTCCGACAAGAAGAAGGTCGCGGGCGCGACCCTCAAGAAGCTCAAGCACTTCCTCGACTCCGAGGACCACGACGGCGTCGCCTACATCGAGCCCGAGCTCGAGCACAAGACCATGTTCCAGGCGAACGACCCGGAGCTCGGCAGCCAGCCGCACTACGACGCGATCAAGCTCCCGGGCGCCTGGGACACGACCATGGGCAACCCGGACGTCGTCGTCCAGGTCATCGACACGGGCATCGACATGGAGCACCCGGACCTCCAGAACAATATCTGGAAGAACCCCGGCGAGATCTGCGGCAACGGCGTCGACGACGACAACAACGGCTACGTCGACGACTGCCACGGCTACAACTTCGCCGACGACACGGGCACGGACCTCATGGGCAACCACTGGCACGGCACGCACTGCGGCGGCACCATCGCCGCCGACACGAACAACGGCAAGGGCGTCGCGGGCGTCGCCGGCGGCGACGGGTCGCCCAACTCGGGCGCCAAGCTCATGATCGGCGTGACCTTCGGCGACTACTCCGTCGGCGGCTTCGCCGAGGCCCTCGTCTACGGCGCCAACAACGGCGCCCAGATCTCGTCCAACTCCTGGGGCTACATGCAATCCGGCATCTACGACCAGGCCGAGCTCGACGCGATCGACTACTACAACTCCAAGGACGGCCTCGTCGTCTTCGCCGCGGGCAACGACGCTGACGACGGCGACTGGTACCCGGCCTACTACGACGGCGCCATCGCCGTCGCCGCGACGGACAACGACGGCGTCGCCGCGGGCTTCACCTGCTACGGCGACTGGATCGACATCTCCGCGCCCGGCGTCGGCATCTACTCCACCATGGCCGACGAGGGCAACTACTACTCGAGCGGCGACTACGGCTACTCGGACGGCACGTCCATGGCCTGCCCCCACGTCGCGGGCGTCCTCGCGCTCGGCAAGTCCGTGAACATGGCCGCGGACCGCCGCCACCTCCTCCAGTGCATGGCCGACACGGCCATGGACACGGACGGTGCCAACTCGGGCACCTACGCCGGCAAGCTCGGCGCCGGCCTCGTCAACGCCGAGGCCTTCGTCGAGTGCGCGGCGAACGGCGCGCCGTCCAAGAGCCCGACCGTCTCGCCCGCGCCGACGACCGCGGCCCCGTCGCTGCGGCCGACGATCAGCCCCGCGCCGACGCCGGACTGCGGCTGCCATCATGACGTGCTCGTTCGCGTCAGGACCGATTGGTTCCCGCACGAGGCGAGCTGGACGTTCGAATCGGTCGACGCGCCCGACGCATGCGAAGACCTCCAGACGAAGGGGGGCCCGTGGGAGGAATCTGAAACGACTTATTCGGCCTATGCCACTCAACACGCGTGCGAAGGTGTTGACTACAAGTTCGTCATGCTCGACTCGTTCGGCGACGGCCTGTGCTGCAGCAACGGCGAGGGCGGCTTCGAGCTCGAGCTCGACGGCGAGGTCATTCACTCGGGCGGGCAGTTCATGACGGACGACGTGTTCGAGTTCAAGATTTCCGCTGATGGGGTCGAGACCAATCCGACGCCCGCGCCCGTTTCTGGCGGCGGTGACGACGAATGGAACTGGGACGACGACTTCTGGAACGACGACTGGGGCTGGTACGACGACGACTTCGAAGACGAGGACGCTCTCCCGACCATGCAGGTCACCGAGGTGTACAAGGCGCTCTCCCACAAGAAGATCGGCAAGCTCGCCATCTTCTCCTGGGAGGCCGAGGAGGTGGACTCGGATTACGACTACTCGTACGGCGAGTGGCGCAAGCTCGCGGGCAAGAACAAGAAAGACAAGAAGAAGGGCAAGAGCGGCTGCCCCAAGGGCAAGGCCGGCAAGGCCTGCCGCAAGGCGGAGAAGGAGGGGAAGTGGTTTTACTACGGCGATTACTACTACGGCGATAACGAGCCGGAGATCTACGCGGGCAACTTCCGCCTCGAGATCCGCTACGGCAAGAACGCGGAGTACGAGATGCTCACGGAACAGGTCGTCGCGGAGAGCACGGACGGCAAGTACTACTTCGTCATGCCGGAGGCCGACTGCGGGAAGAAGGTCCAGGTCCGCGTCACGGGCCTCGGCCCCGACGGGTACGAGACGGAGGCCGTGGAATCCAAGGCCAAGAAGCTCAAGTGCTAGCGCGCACCCCTAAGAAATTCCCTCCAAGTGTATTTGTTTTCCGGGAGGTCGGGACCGTCGGGCGGACTGCTCTCGAGCTCGTCGGGAGGCGCTCGCGCAGGGCTTCGCGCCCGGCGTTTTTTCCGGCACGGCTGGCGCCCGGAAAAAACCCGGAGGATCAGCTTTCCCAAGCACAAGCTCTCGGCATCGACGAGGTGCGACGCGCGCCGACCGGCCCTCACGCCCCTCCCCGCGCGCCCTCGCCCTCCCCCGGCCCTCTCCGCCTGCCGAGCACCAACTCCACCGAAGCGCACGCCGCTTCGTGGCGCTTGCCTCGCGCAATGGCCTCTGCCTTATTGGCTTCGCATCCGCCAGCCTTGGCGAAGGCCTACACCTCGGCCTCGGGCATCGCCTGAGCCCGGCGAGGCCCCTGCGAAGCCACTGGCGCGCGCCGCCTCCCCATCCCGCCTCCCTCCCTCCGCGCGCGCCTCCGCTCGACGCGCTTCCCCGTCCGCAGCTACCCGCAAGCGACCTCGAGTTCGCACACCAGCAATCAAAGCAATCATGAAGACCTCCGCGATCCTCGCCCTCGCCCTCGCGGCCCCCGCCGACGCTGCGGGCCGCCGGCTCGAAGAGAACCTCGACATGCACAAGTTGCTCGATGCCGGGAAGCAGGGCCGCGTCGGCTCGACGATCAACTTCAAGCTCGACAAGGCCCACAAGCTCGTCAAACGGGGCCACACGGCCGACCTCGCGACCAACATCGCCAAGAAGCTCCACTGCGCTCCCCCGAAGCGCAAGTTCCGCGACGCGGGCAAGCACGAGGCGTCGCAGAAGGCGTTCGGCCTCGACATGTGGTACGAGACCAAGTGCGCGCACGAGACCTCCGACAAGAAGAAGGTCGCGGGCGCGACCCTCAAGAAGCTCAAGCACTTCCTCGACTCCGAGGACCACGACGGCGTCGCCTACATCGAGCCCGAGCTCGAGCACAAGACCATGTTCCAGGCGAACGACCCGGAGCTCGGCAGCCAGCCGCACTACGACGCGATCAAGCTCCCGGGCGCCTGGGACACGACCATGGGCAACCCGGACGTCGTCGTCCAGGTCATCGACACGGGCATCGACATGGAGCACCCGGACCTCCAGAACAATATCTGGAAGAACCCCGGCGAGATCTGCGGCAACGGCGTCGACGACGACAACAACGGCTACGTCGACGACTGCCACGGCTACAACTTCGCCGACGACACGGGCACGGACCTCATGGGCAACCACTGGCACGGCACGCACTGCGGCGGCACCATCGCCGCCGACACGAACAACGGCAAGGGCGTCGCGGGCGTCGCCGGCGGCGACGGGTCGCCCAACTCGGGCGCCAAGCTCATGATCGGCGTGACCTTCGGCGACTACTCCGTCGGCGGCTTCGCCGAGGCCCTCGTCTACGGCGCCAACAACGGCGCCCAGATCTCGTCCAACTCCTGGGGTTACATGCAATCCGGCATCTACGACCAGGCCGAGCTCGACGCGATCGACTACTACAACTCCAAGGACGGCCTCGTCGTCTTCGCCGCGGGCAACGACGCCGACGACGGCGACTGGTACCCGGCCTACTACGACGGCGCCATCGCCGTCGCCGCGACGGACAACAACGGCGTCGCCGCGGGCTTCACCTGCTACGGCGACTGGATCGACATCTCCGCGCCCGGCGTCGGCATCTACTCCACCATGGCCGACGAGGGCAACTACTACTCGAGCGGCGACTACGGCTACTCCGACGGCACGTCCATGGCCTGCCCCCACGTCGCGGGCGTCCTCGCGCTCGGCAAGTCCGTGAACATGGCCGCGGACCGCCGCCACCTCCTCCAGTGCATGGCCGACACGGCCATGGACACGGACGGTGCCAACTCGGGCACCTACGCCGGCAAGCTCGGCGCCGGCCTCGTCAACGCCGAGGCCTTCGTCGAGTGCGCGGCGAACGGCGCGCCGTCCAAGAGCCCGACCGTCTCGCCCGCGCCGACGACCGCGGCCCCGTCGCTGCGGCCGACGATCAGCCCCGCGCCGACGCCGGACTGCGGCTGCAACCAGCAGCTCATCTTCCACCTCAAGACCGATCTCTACCCGGGCGAGACGACCTACGAATTCAAGGCGCTCGACGCGCCCGCCGGCTGCGTCGACGAGGGCGTCCTGAAGGGCGGCCCGTACCAGGAGGGCTCGCACAAGTACGACGTCGTCGTCTCGGAGCAGGTGTGCGTTGGAGTCACCTATGAGTTCAAGGTCCTCGATTTGTTCGGCGACGGCATGTGCTGCGGCCAGGGCGAGGGCGGCTTCGAGCTCGCTCTCGAGGGCACTACGATCCACACGGGAGGCCAGTTCGGCTCCGAGGACGTGTTCGAATTCACGAGTTCTGCCGACGGCGTCGAGGCCGGGCCGACGCCCGCGCCCGTTTCTGGCGGCGGTGACGATGAATGGAACTGGGACGACGACTTCTGGAACGACGGCGACGACTGGGGCTGGTACGACGACGACTTCGAGGACGAGGACGCTCTCCCGACCATGCAGGTCACCGAGGTGTACAAGGCCCTCGCGCACAAGAAGATCGGCAAGCTCGCCATCTTCTCCTGGGAGGCCGAGGAGGTGGACTCGGATTACGACTACTCGTACGGCGAGTGGCGCAAGCTCGCGGGCAAGAACAAGAAAGACAAGAAGAAGGGCAAGAGCGGCTGCCCCAAGGGCAAGGCCGGCAAGGCCTGCCGCAAGGCGGAGAAGGAGGGCAAGAACTGGGAGTACTACTACGGCGATTCCGAGCCGGAGATCTACGCGGGCAACTTCCGCCTCGAGATCCGCTACGGCAAGAACGCGGAGTACGAGATGCTCACGGAACAGGTCGTCGCGGAGAGCACGGACGGCAAGTACTACTTCGTCATGCCGGAGGCCGACTGCGGGAAGAAGGTCCAGGTCCGCGTCACGGGCCTCGGCCCCGACGGGGACGAGACGGAGGCCGTGGAATCCAAGGCCAAGAAGCTCAAGTGCTAGATGCGCGAACCAAGTCGCGCAATAAGGCAATTCCCTCCAAGTGTTTCCCCCTTTCCGTGAGGTCGGGCGGACTGCTCTCGAGCTCGTCCGGGAGGGTCCCGGACGAGTCCGTTTCGCCACAGGAGCTCACGGCGAGCTTGACCCCGCCGTGTCGACGCGCCGCACGCCACAAATGCTCGGCCGGCTCGCCCTCGTCGTTTTGACCGTCGCCGCCGACTGGGGACCGCCCGAGCCGAAGAAGCGATCGGTACGGCAGCACGATGCCATCGACCCGGACATGGCCAAAAAGGTCGTCGAGGGGAAGGGATGCTGGTGGGAAGGTACGACCCGCCCGAGCCCGCGCGCGGACGCGACTCGCGGTCGCGTAGGCGACGACTGGGAGGGCATGCTCACGTGCGCGTGCACCTGCGGCAGTTGCGACCAGCGCGGGCCCGCGTCCCGACGACTCGGTCGGTCGCGGCGCGTCGCCCGCGGCCCTCGGCGCGGACCGCGACGCCCGGGCGGCGCGGGGCCGCCGAGCTCGGGGCATCGATCCAGTTCGCCGAGGCCGTGCGCGAGGCCGCGGAGGCCGACGACGCGCGCCGACTCGACCGCGCGCGACGGCGCCCGCAGGTCCTGGCTCGACAGATGCTGCGACTGGAACGCCGACACGCTGAAAGCGCCGCTCTGGCCCATGCGATGTTGCGCGAGCCGGCGTCCCGGGACGGCGCGATGGCTCTCCTTCACCCCGCGTCGCCGCAGGTCCGTGCGCGAAGGAGTCCATCTACGTCTTCAAAAACGACAAGATCGCCCCGGGCTCGCCGTGGCTCACGGGGTCAGAGACACCCCCGGGGTATCCCTGGTAGGATGGGCGAAGGGGCTCCCTAATTGTTCGTGCTGAGCCGGAGGTTACCATTTACGAGCCGCCCGGCGGCGCCCAGTGCGTCGCGACCTCCGCGAGGACCTCGTGCGGGAGCGCGTCGCCGAAGCACTTCCCGAGGATCGACACGAGCACGCCGCGGTGGTGGCGGATATACCCGGCCCAGTCGTCTGCGACGCGCACGACCTTTTCTGCGAGCTGGAGGGCGGTGCGGTCCTCAGATTCAGTTGGTTCGAGTAACAAATCCAAAGAAGGGCGAATAGTATCAACGTAATGTTTCAAAGGAAAAGCACCGGCGCGAAGAAGGTCGAGGAGGATGCCGCGTCTTCCTTTTCGGATCGTCGCGCCGATCGGCGAACTCATGAATTCTATCGCACTTGAACCCGGCGTGCTGCCACGGTTAACGTCCGCGCCGGCCGCGATCAGTGCGGCGACCGCATCGAGGTGCCCGCGCATCACCGCGTACGCCAAAAGTGGCGAACCCCCTGGTGAAAGAGCGTTCACGTTAGCTCCCGCGGCTATTAGAAAGTTGAATGATGACCATTTTTCTGTGAATGTAGCAATATAGATCAACTGAATTGTGGCTCCGCCTTCCTGACTGAATGGACTACGCACGATTTCGATGTCAGCCCCTGCATCAATTTCACGTTGTAATGCCCCCAAATCTTCTGACATGACATACAGGATGAGAATGTTGTCAACTGCTTCAGTATTCGGCATCGCTCCACTGCTCCACTGCTCAGCGCCCTCTCAACTCATCCCTCTCCTCTACACAATCGCTAAGAACTGTGGCAGCTCTTGTGGCGAGAGCTTCGCCAGAGAGACAGTCTTGCGACCGCGTCGTGCGCAAACGCATAGACGAGGACGTCCCGCCGGACTCTTTGTCATGCTTAGACGACTCGCGGTCATCGCCATCGTACTCGCAGTCGACGCATTGAGTAAAGAGGAATGGACAAAAGTCGTCCAGCGAGGAGAAGGGTGCTGGTGGGAAGGCGACGATTGGCAGCACGCGGTGAGCTGTTGCGGCTGCAAAACGTGCGACGAGCGCGGCCCCGCGTCCCGAAGACGACCCGTCGCAGCGCGCGAACTCCGACGCGTTCGCGATGTCCGCGCGAGCGCCTCGGCGACCGCCGCGATTCGCGCAGGTCCTGGCTCGACAGGTGTTGCGCCTGGGGCACGCACATCAACGACGCGAACCCCTGGTCGCGGCGATGTTGTCCGTGCGACCCGGACGGCCGGGACGACGTCGGCCGCGAGGACAGACCCGGGTAAATCGGACCACATCATTCAAACACCGCGGGCACGCGGACGCTCGCCGTCGTCGCCGCCGTCGCGGCGCACGCCGGCCACGGCGCCGCCGACGACGCCCACTACCACGTGCCACCGTCGAACCCGCGGGGTCAAATGAGGCTAAACATCGTTAAACACCGCGGGCACGGCCCCCTTCCGTTGCGCGAGCGTCGCGCGCTCGAAGCAGATCGGGCGCGCGGCCGTCGGCGTCGCGCCGCGGCGCACGAGCACGGCGAGCGTCGCGGCGACCAAAACGAGCGCGACCTTCTCGCCCGGGCACTTGTGGACGCCCTGGGAGAAGACGGAGAACTTGGCGTCGTCGCAGGCCGCGAGGCGCGTGCGCGGGTCCCGGCCGCCGGGGCCGCCGTACTCGGGCCGGCCCGCGTCGTAGCGCGCCGGGTCCGCGCCCCACTCCGCCGCGCACCGGCTCCACGCGACGTGCGACAGCGCGATGGTCTCGCCCCTCCGCACGGGCCACGTCCCCGCGAGGACGAGGGGCTCCTTCGCGACGCGGACGGCGCCGATCGTGTGCGCCGTGCAGCGGAGCGCCTCGTACGTCGCGCGCATCAACGCGTCGGCCGCGAGGAGCGCCTCGAGACTCGGCGCGGCCGCGAGGGCCGCGGCCTCCGCGCGGGCGCGCGCGCGCGCGCCGTCGCCGCCCTCGGCCTCGAGGAACACGAGCGCCTGCGCGGCGCCGATGGCCGGGTTCTTGTGCGCCGCGAAGACGAGGCCCAGCAGCAGCTCCGCGGCGTCGAACGGCGCCATGCCTTGGAACGACCGGAGCCAGGGCCCCCCGTCCGCCGCCGCCAGCGCGGGCGCGAGCGACGCCGCGAGCGTCCGCTGGAGCGCGCGCCGCCGCCGCGCGACGGGCCAGAGCACCGCCGGCAGCGAGAGCCAGCGCGGGAGCACGGCGGCCGCCGCCGTCGCGGACTCGACGGCGTCCTGGAAGCCCATGAGCTCGTCGATCAGCCGCGGGCCGCCGCGCGCCACTAGACCGCCGCCGACGAAGCGGTCCAGCGTCGCCCGGAGCACGCAGCGCCGCACGACGTCGAAGAGGTCATCGACGCAACCACCCGGCGCTTCGACGGCGAACGCGGCCTCGAGCGCCGCGTGGAGCGCGGGAAATTCCTCGGCGAGCAGGCGCCCGTCGCCGTAGGCGCCCTTGAGCGTCCGCTTGTGGAAGTCCGTGCCCTCGAAGACGTTGCGCCGCCCGAGCGTCTCCGCGAAGCCGACGGCCGCGACCGCGTCCTTCGACGACAGCGCGCGCTCCGGCGCCCTCGTCACCTGGCGCACGACGTCGCGGCTGTCGCCGACGACGACCATGCGCTTGCCCGCGAGGTTGACGCGGAAGACGGGGCCCACGGCGCGGCACTGCGCCGCCACGAAATCCGCGGGGCCCTGTTGGTACGCGAGCGCGTGGCCGAGCACGGGCACCGCGCCCGTCGCCCACGGGATGCCGCCGTCGTCGGCGCGGCGGTAGACGACGAGGACGACGACGGCGCAGCAGATGCCGGCGATCGCCGTCGTGTGCGCGAGAGCATGCATCGAGAACGCGTCCACGAGCGCTTGCATGTCGCCGCAGCGCTTTTTCGGCGCTCGAGCGCGCGACTCCTGCTAGAATTCGTGTTCGCACACTTCGACCGCTTCGCTACGGCTCCGCTCAGGCCACGATCGACTCATTTGGCTGCGATAAGCGTCCATCGCCCCAACCTTGCACCAATGTTTGCCGCCGGTTGGACTCGGTTGGCCATCGATTTCAAGATGGGCTCTCTGAAACTCGGCTTCCCTCAGGCACGCCGCGCCTTCGGCGCCGGCGGGTCCGCCGCCGCCGTGTCCCTCCAACGCGGCCGCTCGTCGGCGCCGTCGCACGGCCAGTCCAACGCGGGCGTCTACATCGCCGGCGGCCTGGGCCTGGGCCTCGGCCTCTGGCTGTTCCCGCCGTCCAACGAGTACGCGCGGTCGTCGTCGGCCTACTGGTCCCTGGCCGACTGGGGCGCCGGGGTCCTGCGCGACGGCGTCGGCGACGCGGAGACAGCGCACGGCTACGCGCTCGCGGGCCTGCACCTCGGCTTCGGGCCCGTCGCCGCCGCGCCGGAGGACGCGCTCAAGACGAGGCTCTTCGGCCTCGAGTTCCCGTCGCCCGTCGGCGTCGCCGCGGGCTTCGACAAGCGCGGCGAGGCCGTCGCCGCGCTGGGCGACCTGGGCTTCGGCTTCGTCGAGGTCGGAGGCGTCACGCCGGAGCACCAGGACGGGAACCCGCGGCCGCGCGTCTTCCGGCTCAAGGACGACGAGGCCGTCGTCAACTTCGTCGGCCTCCCCTCCGAGGGCGTCAACGCCGTCGCCGCGCGGCTCGACCACGCGCGCGCGCTCGGGCCGAAGGCGCTCGTTGGCGCGAACATCACGAAGAACGCGTCGACGCCCGCCGGCGCGGCGGCCGTCGCGGACCACGTCGCCGTCGCCGAGGCCCTCGCGGGCTACGTCGACTTCGTCGTCGTCAACGCGAGCTGCCCGAACGTCAAGGGCGGCGTCGTGAGCGTCGGCGCGATGCCGGAGCTGCTCCGGGCGACCAAGGCCGCGCTCGGCGGCGTGCCCCTGCTCCTCAAGTGCAGCCCGGACCTGGGCGCGTCCCAGGTCGCGGCCATCGCCAAGCTCGCCGTGGACCTGCCCCTCGACGGCCTCGTCGTCGCGAACACGACCGCGCGGCGGCCCGCGACGGACGCGGACGAGCCGGGGCGGCCGCGGCTCTTCTACGGCGAGCTGCGGTCCAAGGACGTGCCCGACCGCGGCGGCCTCAGCGGGCCGCCCCTCCGGGACAACGCCGTGCGCCTCGTCCGCGACTTCTACGCCGCGACGGGCGGCGCGGTGCCCATCGTCGGCGTCGGCGGCGTCGCGTCCGCGGCGGACGCCTACGCCCTCGTCAAGGCCGGCGCGTCCCTCGTCCAGCTCTACACGGCGCTCGTCTACCACGGGCCGAGCCTCGCGCCCAAGCTCCGCGACGGCCTCGCGGACCTCGCGCGCCGCGACGGCTTCGAGACGGTCCAGGCCGCCGTCGGCGCGGACCACAAGTGGTGGAAGCCCGAGCGCCGGGCGCCCTGGTGGGCCGTCTGGCGGCGGTGAGAGGACCCGACGCGTGTGGCTAAGGGTCTCTGTGAAGTCGACGGTGCCGCCCAACGGACACGTATCTCGGGAGGCGGCGCAGCCTTCCTCAGTCGAGGCGCTCGCGAAGTCACGGCTGCCCCGATGACGATGTTGGTCCTCCTCACCGTCGCCGCCGCGGCGGCGACGCCGCTGCGCGCCGTCTGGGACGCGGAGGCCCGGCGCGGCGTCGTCCCCGGCGTCGAGGCGCCGCCGCCCGCGGAGCACCTGAACTGTTCCCTGGCCGTCGTCGGCGGCGGCTGGGGCGGCGCCTACTTCGCGTGGCGCATGGGCGTCGACGCGGGCATCGTGGACCCCAAGGACATCTGCGTCTTCGAGGCCAACGGCCGCGTCGGCGGGCGCATCTACAGCGTGCGCGACCTGCCGTCGCTGAGCGGTCTCACGCTCGACGTCGGCGGCTACCGCTTCATCGAGACGGACCGCATCCTGACGGACCTCGTCTGGACCAGCGTCGAACGACAGTAGTGCTTTCGCGTGAATTTCGCCCGAACGCGTGGCGAAATTCAACCCCGTCGCACCCGGTAGGTCTGGACGGCGCTGGAGCTGCCGACGCGCTGCTACGACGCCAACTGCACGAAGAGCTGCCCCGGCGGCGCCGAGGGCTACCACACGTGCCACATCATCAAGGACGCGTACTCGAACAACGCGGGCTACGCGACGCCCATCGAGACCATGCTCGGGCAGCTCATGGACAAGGGCGCGTCCGTGCGCTTCGCGCGGCGCCTGACGTCCCTCTCGACGCGCGACGGCGTCGAGACGCTCGTCTTCGAGGACGGGGCCACGGCGACGGCCGGCACGGTCGTGCTCAACATGCCGCGAAATTCGCTGGAGAAGCTCGGCGGCGACTGGCTGCCCCCGGCCGCGGAGGACGCCGTGCTCGAGCACGTGCAAATGGTCAACATCACCAAGGTCTACGCGTCCTACGCCGACGCGTGGTGGGCGAACCACCTCGGCCTCGTCGAGGGCTTCTTCAACAAGACGAATTTGTTCAAGGGCGCGCCGCTCCACGGGCGCTACCACGACGGGCCCATCAAGTGCGTCATCGGCGAGGACGACTCGGGCAACCCGGTCTACTCCGGCGACCGCGTGCGCTTCGGCAACTGCAGCGGGGCCATCGAGGCCTACTACACGCGCACGGAGAAGTACTACGCGCAGTTCAGGGCGGCGAGCCCCGAGGAGCCGCTCGCCGTCTTCGAGAGCGGCAAGATCGTCGACGAGCTCCACGCGTCGCTCATGGACTTCCACGCCGAGGCGCTGCGCGCCGCGGGCGTGGACCCGGCGTCCATCGCGAAGCCGGAGCTCGTGACCGTGTCCGACTGGTCCGGGGACGCGACCGTCACGCCCGCCTGCGGCGACTTTATCGGCGACGCGGACACGGCGAAGGCCGCGCGCCGGCCCGACCCGGCGCGCGGCGTCTTCCTCGCGAACCAGGACTTCGGGCCCCAGTTCTGCTGGGCGACGGGCTCCCTCATCGTCGCGGAGCGCGTCCTCATGGACCTCGGCGTGTCGAAGCCGGCCTGGCTCAACGCGACCTGGTACGCCGACCGCGTCGCGAGCATGCCCTGAGCGGCGCCGCCGCCGCGCACCACACCGCGCGCCCGGAGCCTAACGCATCGCGTCTTGGAGGTGTCCGCCATAGGAGGAGCCTGCTCATAGCGTGGTTGATAGCAAAGTTCCAGTGAAGTGTTTTGGAGCACAAAATGTAAGTGTTTAGGGGGGAGAGGCAAGTGTTGGCAAGTGTTTCAACGGCCAAAAAAAGGCGAAAATTACCACCAAATGTGCAAAAAAAACACAGAAGTCGAACCAGCGACTGTTCCGTCGCGCTGACAGAAGTGTCTACGAGTGCTTCGTGAGCTTGAGTTAGTGTTTGTAACACTTACAAACAGCTTTGCTATCAACCACGGCTCAATAGGAGGCCTCATAGGCGACCTGATCCGTTGGCGCAAAGCTGCAGCTGATCTCATGCTCAGTCGATCGCAATGAGGATCGTGCCTAGAGTGCCGCGCCTCCGCCGCTTCGTGCGGCCGCGCGCGACGCCGACGCCACCGACAACACTGCACACACCGGCACCACCGACGCGACCGCGACTCCGCGCGATCGCTGCGCCGCGCCGCGGCCTCTGGTGCGCGCTGCGGCGCTGGCTGGCGCCGCGGCTCATGGCGCTGCTCGTCTTCGTCGGCCCCGTGCCGCTGCTGCCCGGCGGCTGCCCGCCGGCCCTCGCGGCGCACACGACGTCGCTGTGCATCGACGCGCCCGCGGCCGCCGTCGACGCGCGCGCGCCGCCGTGGGCGCCGCTCCGGTCGAAGCCGCGGACCGACGAGCGCCGCGACGCGGACGCCGCGGCCCCGCGGCGCACGTCCTTCGTCGCCAACGCGGCGGCGCTCGTCGGGCCCGCCGTCGTGCGCGTCGACGTCGAGCGCGGCGAGGGGCGGCCCGAGTACTCGCACGCGTCGGGCTTCGTCTACGACGGGTCGAACTGTCTCGTGCTCACGAACGCGCACGTCGTCCAGGGCGCGACGCGCGTCGCCGTCGTGACGGCCGAGGGCGACCGCAAGGACGCCACCGTGCTGGGCGTCGACGCGCACACGGACCTCGCGGTCCTCAAGGTCGCGGACGCGAGGAACCTTCCGGAGGCCGAGCTCGGCGACGACGTCGCGCTGCGCGTGGGCGACTGGGTCGTCGCCATCGGCCACCCCATCGGCCTCGACCACACCGTGACGCTGGGCATCGTGTCGTCCAAGGGCCGGTCCATCGCGTCGCCGGTCATGAGCCGGCGCGACGACGAGTCCGGCGCGCGGCGCTGGGCGGACCGCGTGCGCTTCATCCAGACGGACGCGGCGATCAACCCGGGCAACTCCGGCGGCCCGCTCCTCGACGACGCGGGCAGGGTCATCGGCATCAACACGGCCACGGCCATGCACGCCGACGGCATCGGCTTCGCGATCCCCGTGACCGTCGCGAAGCGCGTCGCGGCCGACCTCGCGGCGGGCAAACGCGCGCGCCACGCCTACCTCGGCGTGGAGCTGAGCCCGCTGACGCCGGAGACGCGGCGCCTCGTGCGCGACGAGGCGGGCGACGCCGTGAAATTGCCGGACCGCGGCGCGCTCGTCATGCGCGTCGTCCCCGGGTCGCCCGCGGCGGCGGCGGGCCTCCGGCGCCACGACGTGCTCGTCACCGTCGCCGGGGCGCCCGTCCGCGACGTCGCGACGGTGCTCGTCGCCGTCGAGGAGGCGAACGTCGGCGACTCGCTGTCCCTGGGCCTCCGCCGCGGCGGCGGCCGGGAGCAAAACGTCGCGGTGACGACCGCGAACCTCGACGACTTCTCCGACCCCCTCGACGCGCCGCCCCCGGCGAAGAAGCCCATCCCGGCCGCGGGGCGCGACGGCGTCGGGCGACTCGGCGTCGGCGCGCGGCGAAGCTTTTCGTAAAGGTTCCTGGCACCCCGCCCCGTCGACCCCCGGCGCGGGCAAGATATGTAGAGGCGTTTTCTTTGTTTTTGGAGGTCGGCAAGGACGGCAGCCCAAACCCGCGCTGAAAAAACTGTGCTTCGACGGGGCAGAAGATGGCATACCGTGCTGAGCTGTGAGAGGCATGGCTTCGTCGCTGTTCCTTCTCCTCGGCGCGCTCGGCGCGCGCACGGCGCGTTCGCAGGAGATCTTCTGGAACTTCCGCGGGGCCTTCGCGCCGTCGTCGGATGTGCGCTGCCCCCAGAACCAGTACCAGACCGTCAAGCACGAGCGCGGCCAGGACAACGAGTTCAAGGTCTACGCGACGCCGGACAGCTGCCAGGAGCTCTTCACGGCGCCCGCCGGGCGCGCCACCCGCGCGGGGAACGGGGGCGATCCCGGGCGCGGCCGCGTCGTTCCGTCGCCGCGACGCCCGCGCCGGTCCCGCAGGTACTACTCGCCGGCGGGCGCGGCCTACGCCGACGACCTGCGCGACGCCGACGACTTCTTCAAGACCGTGTGGTACAACGGGACCCAGTCCAAGTGCTCGACGATGCAGGGCTTCGCGCCGAACATCTACTTTTACGCGTGCGAGTGCAACTTCGGCTTCCTCTGCCTCCCGAACACGGCGCTGCCCGCCTTCTGCCCCGAGGGCTTCTACTGCACCTACCCCTGGGACTACGACGAGTGCCAGGAGGGCGCGTCCGCCGGCGTCCTTTTCCTCCCGGCGGAACCCCCCGGAAACGCGAACGCCGCCGCAGGCCACTACTGCAAGGAGGGGAGCGTCTACGGGACGCCCTGCACGGCCATGGAGGCGTGCCCCAAGGGCTCGCCCGTGCCCATGGTGTCGAGCTCGGGCCCGACGCTCTTCCTCGCCTTCGTGGGCATGTTCTTCATCATCTTCAAGATCCAGGAGCGGCAGATCGAGATGAAGATGTCCAAGGAGAACCAGGAGATGGAGGACTACCTCGCGGCCTGCAAGACCGCCGAGGACAACAAGATGCCCGAGGAGCCCGAGGCCATCCTCATCGAGTACGTCGACGCGGCCGGCGTCGGCGGCTGGGGCCGCCTCGCGGCCGGCGACGGCTCCGGCGGCGAGACCAAGGACGAGGCCGGCGGCGGCGGCATCGAGATGCGCCAGGAGACGCCGCCGTCCGTCGCGCCCAAGGAGGTCGAGCTCGACACGGCGCCGCCGCCCGAGGGCGCCGACCACGTCATGGAGTTCGTCGTCGAGTTCGAGACGCTCACGCGCGTCGCGCCGCGCCCGAAACCGCCGCGCCCCGAAACCGCCCCCTCTCTCCCGGAAACTCTTCGCCCGACCGGTCCCCGCGCCCTAGGTTCACGCTGCCCAACGGCGTGCAGATCATGCGGGGCGTGTCCGGGCGCTTCGACCCGTGCACGAGCACGGCGATCATGGGCGCGTCGGGCGCGGGCAAGACGACGCTCATGAACCTCGTCGTGGGCAAGGTCAAGAAGACCAAGGGCACGATCCGCGTCAACGGCGAGGTCGTCGAGAGCCTCCAGCGCTGGAAGAGCCGCCTGGGCTTCGTGCCCCAGGAGGACATCATGCACCGGCGGCTCACGGTGCTCCAGAACATCGCGTTCTCCGCGTCGCTGCGGCTGCCGACGACCATGTCCGAGGAGGACAAGGCGTTGCGCGTGCGCGACGCGCTGAAGGTGCTGCGCCTCGACCAGGTGCGCCACAGCATCATCGGCGACGAGATGCAGCGCGGCGTGTCCGGCGGCCAGCGGAAGCGCGTGAACGTCGCGATCGAGATCGTCGCGGACCCGTCCGTGCTCTTCCTCGACGAGCCCACGTCCGGGCTGGACAGCGTGTCGTCGACGGAGCTCGCGCGCATGCTCGGGGACATCGCGCGGCGGAAGCGGCTGACCATCGCGGCCGTGGTCCACTCGCCGAGCCCCGCGGCGTTCGCGGCGTTCACGGATCTCATCCTGCTCCAGACGGGGGGCACGCCGGTCTACGTGGGCAAGCTGCCGGGCTGCGAGCCCTACCTGGCGTCCATCGGCTTCACGTACCCGCGGGGCGAGAAGAACGGCGAGCCCTTCGCGGACTACATGATGGGCGTCGTCGCGGGCATCGACCCGCGTGGATGCCAAACCTTGACTTCAATGTGAGCGTATGCGACGGTTTCGACGCGAGGCGTTCCGCCACGCTTCGAGAACTCGACGAGAGCAATCGATTCGTCCAAACATCAGCCGAATCGACGTCGATGTGACCGAGCTAGAGAGTGCTGAAGGTTGGCGGGGACCCCCCGAACCAGCGGTTGGAATCCACGCAGGCATCTACAAGCCGGACCACTACAACGACCTCGAGAACTGGGACCGCATCACGGCCTTCGGGGACCTGTGGAAGGCCCACTTGGAGGGCGAGCGGCCGGACCTCCAGGGCGTCAAGGAGGGCAAGACGAAGGCGCGGCGGACGTCGGCGATCATCCGGAAGACGCGGAAGACGGCCGCGGAGGAGCAGGCGCTCCAGCGGAAGCGGTCGACGTGCTTCCTGATGAAGTGCCTCTACCGCATCACGGACACCATCGGGCTGATCCTGACGGACCTCTACGAGAAGCCCGAGGCCGTCATGTCGCAGTGCAAGATCCGCGACGAGGACCCGCAGCGGCCCCAGGCGGGCTTCGTGCTGCAGTTCCGCCTGTGCTTCGTGCGCGCCATGCGCCAGTCCTACGGCTCCTTCCGGTCCTTCGTCATGGGCTGCGTGCTGACGAACCTGGGCATCGGCCTCATGCTCGGCGCTGTGTGGATTCCAACCACTGGTTTGGGGGGTCCCCACCAAACTTCAGAACTCTCTATCTCGGTCACATCGAAGTCGATTCGGCTGATTTTTGGACGAATCGATTGCTCTTGTCGAGCTCTCGAAGCACGGCGAAAGAGTCTGGTCCAAACCGTTCGATTACGCGCACATTGAAGTCGGGTTGAAGATTTGAATTCCACACAGGCTCGGCGTGCTCATGGACATGGGCGACTACCTGAACGTGCTCGGGTCCTACCCCGAGGACATCTGCTGGCGCCAGTACCCGCTGTTGATCTACGCGTGCCTGGGCCTCCAGGCGAATTCGTACGTCGCCGCGCTGAACTTCATCGCGTTCATCGTCATCGGCGCCGGGGCCGCGGTCGCGACGAACACGTTCGGCGCGGAGAAGGTGATTTATTGGCGCGAGTCGTCGACGGGGCTGAATTCCGTGGCCTACTTCGCGGCCAAGGTCGTCGCGGACGTGCCCAAGGCTCTGGCGTCGACGCTCTGCATGCTCGCGGGCCTGCTCTACTCGTTCGTGTCGCCGATGAACACGGGCGAGCTCATCACGGCGACGGTCATCCTCTACCTCAACTCCTACGCCGCGGGCTACCTCCTGAGCTTCCTGCTCCCCTACGAGGCCTGCGGCATGGCCGCCGTCGGCTGGGGCATCTGCTGGGGCCTCATGTTCGGGGGCCTGAGCCTGACGATGCGCGAGGACCTCGCGGGCTTCAAGAACAACCTCATGCTCATCTCGAGCGCGCGCTGGTACAACGAGGCCGTCTGGTACTCGTCGACCATGTACCCCTTCAGCGAGGTGCGCGACGGGCCCTCCAAGGGCAAGCCCTACTACAACCTCGACGCCGCGAACCACGCGCTCTGCTTCTACAAGACGCTCTGGGAGGCCTGCGGCTGCGCCTTCGCCTGCCTCCTCTGGTGGCTCGCCATCGACCTCTTCCTCATCGTCTTCACGAAGCTCGACAAGAAGAAGTAGGCGCGGCGTCTCCCCGCGCTCCGCCGCGTAACACGAGCGCAGAATCGGACGCCGTGGGAAGCTACTGCGCACTCCTTACCAGGAGTGGGCGCGATGAAGTCGCCGCCGCGGGCCGCCTTGTGGCGGCGCGCGGGACCGGGGCCGCCTGTTTTTTCGCGCGGACGGGCTACGCGGGGAGGCCCGACGACGCGGCGAGGAGCGCGTCGCCCGCCCGCGCCCAGGCCGAGGGCCGCTGGGCGTCCGGGTGGCCGCTGTCGTCGAGGGCGAGGCCCACGTCGCCGTCGTCCGTGGGCTTGTCGCCCGCGGCGGGCGTCCAGTCGCCGTTGAGCTCCCAGGCGTCGGACGCGATGGACGCCATGGACAGGGACATGGCCACGGACGCGATGGACAGGCTCTTGGGGATGGAGCCGGCGCTGGACAGGTTCCCCGGGCTCGGCGGCTCGTCGGCCTTGGCGTCCGCCGCGGCCCCGTCGGAGAGCGTCCGCGACCGGAGGCTCTCGAGCGCGTCGACGCTCTTGCCGCCGCCGGGCCGCAGGGGCGCGCCCAACGGCCGCGCGGCGTCCCGCGGCTCGCCGCGGCTCGCCGCCTCGTACTCCGCGCGCAGGTCCGGCGCCGCGGCGCGCGCGCGGGAACCGGGCGAGCCCTCGGCCGGCCGGTCCGTGCCCGCGCGCGTCTTCGCGGCCGGCGGCGGCGCCGCGGGCGGCGCGCGCCGCCGCGGCTCCGGGCGACGGGCGGCGGCCGCGGCCGGCCCGCGGCGGCCGCGGCGGCGCCGTCGCGCGGGCGCCGCATGCCGCCGCTCCGCGCCGACGCCTGGCGCTCGATGCAGAGGTGCTGTCTCGCCGTCTCCACGGAGCGGGACACGTGGGTCCGCGCGATGTCGTCGAACGCGAGCTTGGCGATGGCCCGCTCGCCGGCGTCGATCGCGCGCTGCCAGAGCCGCATGTTGCAGTAGCAGACGCCGAGGCCCGCGTCGGCGTGCGCCGCCGTCGTCTCGCCCATGGGCGCGCCGGACGCCTCGAGGCCCTCGAGGATCTCCCGGGCGTCGCTGAAGTCCGCGACGGCGCGCTCGTAGCTCAGACACGCCGCGTGCGCGTGGCCCCGGAGCAGCCGGATCCGCGCCTCCTCGTCCTCCTCGGCGACGCGCACCGCCGCCGGCGACCGCGACTCGACGGCGCGCTGCACGGCCCAGCGCAGGGCCCGGTCCAGGTCCGCGACGGCCTCCCAGGGCCGGCCTGCGCGGCGCGCGTTCTGAACGGAAGCGATTCGAGCCGCGCGCGCCGCGCGCGCGCCGGACGTCTCCATCGAGGTTCGCGCGTTCTTTTTTGTAATGCGCGCGTTCTCTCATGGCTAGAGCAGACGCTGCGGCGCACCCATGCCCAAAAACGCGGCCGCGCGGCCGACGAGGCCCGCCGGCTCGCCCGGGCTCCGCTCAACGGCTTGGTTCGCCAGGTACCAGCGCCGCGCGGGCGTCAGATTCGCCTCGTCCACTTCGCCGTCCATGGCTGCCGCAGCGCGGCTCGGTGGGAGCCGCGATTGACTGGTAAGCGACGACGCAGCGGACGGCGACGGCGGCGCAAGAGTCGATCCGCGTGTGAGAGGCTGAGAGCTTCTGAGGCTCTTTGGCTGCAACATCACCAACTTGAAGTTATTTTCGGGTGTCGCGAATGGCGCCTGCCGAGGCAGCTCGCGCGCTCCGACGCCACGCCTTTTCTCTTTTTAGCGCCGAGAAGCGGCGCCAACGCGAACGCGACGTCCCCGGGTCTTCGAGTCGCGCGCGCGTTCGGCCGCGGCGGTGTCGCAGAGCCAGCCCCTGGCGCGCCGCCCGGGGATTCGACGAGGAAGTCGCGCATGTGCCAGACGTCCGTCGCGCTGCAGGCGCCGCGCGAGGCATGCGGTCGGTGCGGCGCGCGCCGCCACCCCCGGCGTGTGTCTCTCGAGCGTCTCTCGCTTTCCCACCTCAGCACTATGGCTGCATATTTCGCCGCACGACACCGAGCCATGCGCGTCGTCGCCGCGCGACCGGTCGCGCGATGTGCGACGACGCGCGCGCAGCCGAACCCCATCGCGACGTTCAACACGTCCTACGGCAGTTTCAAGGCCGAGATCTACCTCGACCGCGTGCCGCGCACGGCGAGCAACTTCATCGACCTCGCGCGGTCGGGCTTCTACGACGGCCTGCACGTGCACCGCGTCGTGCCCGGCTTCATGGCCCAGTTCGGCTGCCCGGAGTCGCGCGACCCGCGGTCGCCGCTCCAGGGCGTCGGCGGCCCGCCCGACGGCGCCTTCGAGAACCTGGTCACCAACGAGACGGAGCAGCGGTCCAACGGCGGCCTCATCGCCGACGAGCACGTCGACCGCACGTCCAACGGCCCCGGCACGCTGTCCATGGCGAACACGGGCGCGCCGGACAGCGGCGGCTCGCAGTTTTTCTTCAACGTCGGCGGCAACGCGCAGCTCGACTGGTTCTCGCCGGGCCCGAGCCGGCACGTCGTCTTCGGCGCGCTCGTCGACTCCGCGGCCTACGAGACGGCCGTGGCCATCTCGCGCGTCCGCGCGGACGACGACGACCGGCCCGCGGAGCCCGGAGCGGGAAACGAGTGATTCAATTCAACGTGAGGGTTCCGCGCGCGATGGTTCCAGAGAAAGGATCCGCGCGTCGAGACCGCTCCGAGAGATGATCGCTCGTCCAAGAACGAGCCGAAACGAGTGGAAACTGACCGAGAGAGGCGCCTTTGACGTTGGGAATTTTTTCCCGCCCAGGTCGAGCCCGTCGAGGTCCGGTCCGTGCGCGTCGACGCGCCGGAGAGGCAGGCGCGGACGCTCACGTGGGACGACGAGCAGGAGCTCGCGCACCTCGCGCGCATGCGCCGCGGCGCCGCGGGCGAGGACGCGGACGCGACGTTCGCCGGGCGCATGGGCGTCGGCGGCGCGGCGCCGCTGAGCGCCGAGGTCTTGGAGTCCGCGGACCGGCGCACGGCGGTCACGGAGGTCGACGCCGGCGGCTTCGAGCTCAACGGCGACGTCTTCGTGCCGTCGAGCGTCGCCTGCCTCGCGCACAGCGCGTTCCTCTGGAAGGCGCGGCGGCCCGAGGACGTCACCGTCGAGTCGATGCGCCTCTTCACGGCCGTGCACCCGCGGCCGGAGATCGTCGTGTTGGGGTTGGGCGCCAAGGGCCCGCGGGAGCGGCTGCTCGACGTGGAGCTCTTCTTCCGCGACGAGGGCATCGCGCTGGAGCAGATGGACACGGCGAACGCGGTCCACACGTTCAACATCCTCAACGACGAGAAGCGCGAGGTCGGCGCGGCGCTGCTGACGCTCGAGCCCCGCGGCGCCGACGAGTACGCCGACCCGTTCGCCGCGGCGCTCGCGGGGGATGGTAACAAGGGGTGATTGCGCAGGGAGTCGTCCGTCCGAAGCTCGCTCAGGCCGGGATACCCGGCGGGAAGTCGGCCGCGCCCGGCGACTGCCTGAAATCGCCTCACATCACAAAGCCAAGCACACCGCCTTCGCGCTCACGAACGTCACGCGCACCGCGACCCCGACGCTTCCCACCCCACCACACCGTCACTCGCTCCGACCACAAGCAACTCGAGACCATGGACACATTGAAAGACTGGCAGATCAAGCAAAACGAGTACGAGATCAAGAAGGCCCGAGCCAAAGCCCTCAAGCTCCGGCTCTCCTGCAGCATATGCGGCGAGAAGGCCAAGCTCAACTGTCCCTGCGGAACAACGCAGTGCGCGCCCGGCGCCGATATAAACGCGTGCGAAAGGATCAGGGGCGGCGCGCCCGCGCCGCGCGACGCGTTTCGGGCGCCGTCACGCGCGACCCTCCAGGTATTGTTCGACGGACTGCCAACGCATCGACTGGCGCGAGCGGGGCCACAAGAAGGCCTGCAAAAAGGTCCGCGACGACCGGGCGGCGGAGACGGCGCGGGCGGAGGACCCGGCGCCCCCGCCGTCGCCGCCGGAGGAGGTGTTCTACGGGCCCGCGCCGCGGTCGGGCGCCGACGAGGTTCGCGCGCGTATTGCGGCGGAACATGAGGCCGCTCGCGCGCGCCGCGAGGCAAACCCGGTGCCAGAACCGCAGTCGGTGCGGTTCGGGTCGTGTTGCCCGATCTGTCGCGAGGATTGGGTTCCGCACATGGAGACGAGCACTTACGTCTGCTGCTGCAAGAAAATCTGCAAGTCGTGCAGTGATAAAATCGGGTCCGCGCCGTGCCCTCTCTGTCGGGCGCCGCCACTGAAAGATGCAGAAGCGCTGGCTCACATTCGCCGCCACGCGAAGGACGAGGTGCCGGAAGCGGTGAAACTTCTGGGCGACGCATACCTCTTCGGCCATTATGGACTGGTGAGATCGAACAAAAGGTCTGCGAAACTCTACAAGCGCGCCATGGAGCTCGGAGATGTGGGGGCGATGAACCGTTTTGCACGGTACTGTTTTTTTGGCGCATGTGTCAAGCGTGACCTGAAGACCGCGATACGACTTTGGCGCATGGCCGCGGATCGCGGCAACGCGGAGGCGCAGTACATGCTAGGGTTCTTTTATGAAAATGGCAGCAGAATCAAACACGTCGACGATTTCGAAGTCAACCTTTGGGAAGCCTCAAGCTTATATGCACGTTCGGCCGCCCAGGGCTTCAAGCATGCCAAAGACGACTGGGACGACCTGACCTTGCGAATCACTGAGGCGATGGTGGATCAAAAGCTAAACTGCTTAAAACTGGACGTGGCCTCCGTGCGGCGCGGTCAATCCGTGCGTCCACGGTCAAGAGAGGGACCTTTCCGCCTGCATAGAATCTGATAAATTCCACCGCGGCGCGCCCATCCCAAGAAGAGAGAACGGCCGGTAGAGGTTAGTCCATACAATGGCACTGGGCGCTCGGGGGGTGCACGGGCAGGTCCGAGCGAGGGGGAGGCGGCGCGCGGGCCGCGCGCCGCGCTGGGATCTTTTCCGTTCACTTCGCCGAGGAGTTGGAGAACTTGTTTTTCGAGATGCGGCCGCCCGCGCGCGTCGGCGAGCTCTTGGGCGTGAGCTGGCTGACGAGCTTCGCGGCCATCTTGAAGCGCCCCGAGCCCGGGCTCGTCGGGCTCGTCGGCGCGGCGGGCGCCGCGGCTCGCGACACGTGGAGGAGGCCGTCGACCTCGGCGTCGACGTCCGTTTTGCTCGCCGCGTTCGGGTCGCCGAGCCCGAGCTCCTTGGCGACGGCGGCGATGCACTGGGGCGAGGACGTCAGGTTCTTGAGCAGCGCCGCGGCGTGCATCTGGCTCATCTCGTTCTCGCCCTGCTTGCACATGTCCACGAGGATCGGCACCGCGCCCGCGGCCGCCATCGCGTTCCGGTTCACGTTGTTGTTGTAGGTCAGGTTCCGCAGCGCGCCCGCCGCGGCCTCCTTGCAGACGACGCTGTGGCCGTTCTTGCAGAGGCCCACGAGGGGCTGGACGGCGCCCGCGCACGCGATCGCGACCTGGTTCGCCTCGTTGTTGAACGCCAAATTCCAGAGCGCGCGCGCGGCGGCCTCGGCGGCCGCCGCCGTCGCCTCGTTGTCCCCCTCCTTGCAGAGCTCCACGAGCGGCCGCACGGCGCCCGCCTCGACGATCAGCACCTGGTTGTCGACGTTCACCGCGAGATTCCGGAGCGCGCCGGCCGCCGCCTCCTTCGCGCCGATGGTGCCGCCCTTGGACAGCAGCGTGACCAGGGGCCCGATGGCGCCGCTCTCGGCGATGGCCACCTTGTTGTCGTTGTTGATGCTCAGGTTCCAGAGCGCGCGCGCCGCGCATTCGGCCGCGGCCGCGTTCTCCTCGTTCGTGCCGTCGCGGCAGAGGTCGACGAGGGGGCCGATGCCGTGGGCCGCGACGATGGCCACCTTGTTGTCGCCGTCGAGGGCGAGCACGCGCAGCTCCGCCGCCGCCTTGACCCGGTTCTCGAGGTCGTCGTGCGCGAGGTGCTCGATGAGCTCCGCGATCTGGCCGAGCTCCGCGCGGCCGCCGGGGGCCTCGTCGGTCTCGCGCACGCGGCGCATGCTCGGCTGCTTCTTCATCATCTTCTTCGCGCCCTTGTAGGCGCTGTGCGCCCCGGCCATGAACGACGTCGTCTTCTTCTTGACCTTCTTGGGCGCCCCGCCCTCGGCGCCCACGTTGCGCACGCTCAGGTCCAGCGGGTCCTCGTCGTCGCTCTTGAACTCGGCCATGGCCGCTCAGAGGAGCCGGGGCGTGCGCGGGCCGCGACCAACCCCGCCCCGCGCGCCGCTCCCAGGACCCGGTGATCCGAAATCGGCTGGCGCAGCAGCAGCCCCGCAAAATAAGCAGGGACAGGAACAGGTACGGCAATGTTGCACCATAGATAACTGCCGCGTATCCCCCGCACTTTTTGGCCGCCACTCGTTGCGCTTCACCAACTCGACAGCTCTTCACAAACGTGAATGGGTCAAGGTCGGCCGGGTCATTTTCGGCCGGGCGATCACATATCTAGGGGATCTCACTGGCGTAAAAAATAGTACACCAGGGAGCAGCCCAGCCGCTCGTGAAGCATGAAGCATGAAGCCGCCGTCGTCGCTGCCCCCCCGGCCCGACCATGGCGGGCCCGCTGCTCGTCTGGGAGTCCGGCGCGACGTTGTCCGTGCACGGCTTGACGGCGGCGCATTCGGGCTCCCGTCCCATCCAGTGTCGGTTGGCGGCGGCGACTTCAGGTCGTACACGAGCACGCTGGTTCGGCGCCCCCTGGCATCTCTGGGTTCGGACCCGCGAGGCCGCCGACTTCCGCGTTCGAGGGGGGCGCATGACCGTGCCGCGCTCCATGGAGGCGCGCTGGCTCGAGACTCTCCGCGGCGCCCGAATCGCTCGCCGCCCCGCGGCGGGCTTTCAGGGCAACCGCGTGCACGGCCGAGACCCACGGCGTCAGCCTCTGCGGCGTGGGCTACGCCGAGCCCAAGCAGACCTTCCCCGGCGACATCATCTGCCGTACCTACGCCTTCGCCGAAGACCTGGCGCGCGCTGTCCAGTCCCGCGCGCCTCGCGCGGGCGTCGACTTAAAACACCGGCGCATGTGACATCTACGGGCGCACTCGTCGGTGGGGGAGAGCCAAGGGGGGCGCCGCCGCCCCCGGGCCGACGGCAGGTCTTTCAGACCTCGCCCTGGCCCCGCTAGACGTCCCCCTCCGCTCAGTCGAATCAACTGTGCTTAAACAGTTCATGAGTCAACCGATAGACCATTGATCGAATGGACTTTCTGAGTAGTCATGAACAGTGATTATGGTGGGCGCCAAAACACCCCCTGGCGACCCTCCCGCTGGACCCCAGCGCATCAGGGGTCCGTCCAACATGTCCTTTGGAGGACCAAAGCTGAAAAGCAGCCATCCATGCCGAAACTCGGCTGTGGACGGGCTGCCGAGCACGACGCGCGCCGCGGCTCAAACCTGGTCAACGACCCGAGAAACGCGCATTGGGGACACCCGCGACCGCTTCGAGACCCTCGCAGACACCCCTCGAGTGCCCCAGCCGCGTAGATCGTCCTCTGGGCCCGGCGCTGACCGCCACGACCACTCGGAGCGTTCGACGCGCGCCGCCGGGGCTGCCACGCGCGCGCGCGTAATCTCGGACATGAGCAATCCGCGGCACGCGGGGAATCTCATCGCGGCACTGTCCCTTCGCGATTCCCCGAGCGCCGCGGATCGATCGATGCCCCAGGACCGACATATCGCCCCTCGACGCGTCGAAATGGCCCGGATCCAGAGGCCCCGTTCGCCCCGAAATCGTGCTCGTCTCTCGAGATCGAGAGCGGCGCGTCGAAGATCGCCCGCCGGCGCGGCGCGGGCTCGAAGGCCGCCGGGGCGCCCGGCGGACCGAGCCGCCGAACGCGGCCGTCAAAGTCGGGCGCTGCCCATCGGATCGGCTTCCCAGTGCGCTGGAGCAGCTAGAGATCTTTACGCCAGTGTCTCGCTCCGGCTTCAGCGGCCGCGCCCCGCGCGCCGCCGCCGCCCGCCGGCCGCGCGCGCGCCAAAGGCTATAGGCGCTATAAGGCGGTCGCGCTACAAGCCGAGCGACGCGCGCGAGTCCCAGACGTGCCACCGGCGGCCGTCCGGGTCGTCGACGAGGCCGTCGATGACCTGGTCCATGGTCTCCGCGGGCGGCGGGTTGGCCTCGCCGTCGTGGATGATGGCGTGGGCCTCCGCCGCCAGGGCCTCCGTCGACGTCAGCCCCGACAGGAAGTTGATGGCGAGCTTGAACATGCGGCGGTTGCGCGCGTGCGCGGCGTCGTCGACGCCCACGCAGACGCCGTAGCGCGTGAGGAACGGGTAGAGCTGGAGCAGCTTCACGAGCGCCTTCTGCTCGTGGTCCTCGACGAGGCCGTCGTTGTCGAGGTCCGACGTCGCGCCGTAGCGCGCGAGCACGTTGATCGCGACGACGCGGATCTCGTGGTCGCCGATCGCCGGCAGGTCCGCGTGCGGGTTCGCGCGGCGGTGGTAGGCCTCGTAGACGGCGATGACGAGGCACAGGAGGTGGAAGTCGATGCAGATCGCCGGCGACATGGGGTCCGGCTTCCAGGTCAGGCTCAGCTCCGTCGGCCGCACCTCCGCGGCCGGCGCCGTCGCCGCGAGCTTCGCGTACATGGCCCGGAACGCGTCGCCGCGGGCCCGATCCGCGTGCAACGTCCGCTTGTGCTCCTCGCGGTTGTCTAACTCGTCCTCGGTCCGCAGGCTGCCCCGGGGCCGCGCGAAGAGGCCGTCGCCGCCCGTCGCCTCGACGCGCGCGAGCTCCGGGCCGACCCACGCCTCGAGCAGCGGCATGACGTCGTCGAGCGGTACGGCGTGGTCCCCCGCCGCCGTCCCGTTGCCGTCGACGCGGCTCCAGAACGCGAAGATGAGCGGGTCCGGCGGCGCGGACCCGATCTCCGCGACGACGGCCGTGTACGCGTCGATGATGATGGCCAGCAGCGCGTTGAGCATGACGAAGAAGCTCACGAGCATGTAGGACCAGTAGAAGAGCTGGGACGCGGAGTCGTCGTCGCTCGGGTGCGAGTAGAGCCCCGCGAGCGCGCTCAGCATGGTCACCGTCGAGTGGCTCACCGTCGCGAAGTTGTTCGACTCGCGGCCGAAGATGAGCGTGCCGAGGATCGCGTAGAGCCCCGTGATGAGGCCCATGAGGATGAAGAAGAAAAAAAGATCAAAAGCGGCGATGCGGATCGTCCGCGACACGAGGCCCATGCGCGGGTGGAAGTCGAGATTTTTTAAAAGTTGAAAGACCATGACGATGATCGAGTAGACGTTGAGCCGCTCGTAGATCACGTAGAGCTGCTTCAGCCGGCCCACGTCGGCGTAGGTCCGCTGGGCGTCCGCCAGCGCCGCCGACGCCTCCGTGATGCGGCCCACGGCGACGTCGTCCGCGAAGACGTCGAACCGGAGCGCGGACTCGAAGCTTTCGCACCGCGCGACGATGACGCACCAGACGACGATCATGGCAAAGCGCACCGTGAACGCGGCCCAGTCGACCAGGTTGAAGACCGTGAGGTAGTCGCCCAGGGAGCCCGTGCTCCGGTAGACGCCCCGCATCTCGTCGAACTCGAAGACGACGTTGACGACGAACATGATCACGAAGAGGAGCTCGAAGACGAGGCGCGCGTAGTCGTCGGCCTGGTCGTAGGGCATGGGGTCGATGAAGCTCACCTCCCGGCTCAGCGAGAAGCCGCCCGCCTCCTGGCGCTCGAGCCTGAACGCGAGCCACGTGAGCCGCTCCGACTCGCGGTTCATGAGCAGGATCTCCAGCGCGACCTCGACGGTGTGGCCGTCGAAGTAGCCGCCGTAGATGAGCGTCTTGAGCATCTCCTCGGCGCGCGTCCGGTTCAGGTTGATGTCGAAGACGACCGCGTAGTCCTCGCCGCCCGCGCGGCCCGGCCGCGCCATCGTGTAGTAGAAGCCCTTGGGCACGCCCGAGTCGTGGAGCTCCCCGGCGTCGTACAGGTCGAACTTGATGGCCTCGTTCGTCGCGCGGTAGAGCGGGCTCGACGGCTCGAAGGACGGGTCCACGCCGAAGGGCGACGTGTCCTTGGCGCCGAAGCACTTGTCCTTCAGCACCGCGCGCGACTCCTCGGACGCGAAGGGGCCCGCGGAGGGGCAGTCCGCGGCCTTGACGCGCCGCTGGGTGAGCTTGGGCCCGACGACGGCCATGTTCGGCTTGTTGAAGTAGCGGATGCGCACGTCGTCCGCGGCGAGGCCCGGGAACATGTCGTACGCCGAGCCTGGGCAGCACAAGGGTGATTCAACGTCGCTTCAACGTGCGTGTTTCGCGCGCGCGCGTTACGGAAAAAGCATCCACGCTTCGAGAGCGTTCCGAGAGATGATCGCTCGTCCAACAATCAGCCGAAACGAGTGGAAAACGGCCGAGAGAGGAGCCTTTGAAGTTGGGAATCTCGCTCTCTTGTGCTGCCCTGCGCCGAGCCGCCGCGGACGCGATTGGCGTCGGTCACGTTGAGCGCAAAGGGCACGGACCGGTAGGCGCCGGCGTAGGACGCGCACTCCGGGCAGGCGAGCGACGGCATGAGCGCGTCGCGCGCGGCGTCGAACCCCGCGAGGAGCGCGGCGCCGTCGCTGTGGTTCGCGAGCGCGCGCGGCGCCTCGTCCTCGTCCAAATTCCCGACGAGGCCGTCGCCGGCGAACTCGAGGAACAGCTTGTCCGCGACGGCGTCGTAGAGCTGGGACGGCACCGTCGCGTGGACCTCGTCGTTGATGACGACGCCGTAGGGCCACGCGTCCTCGGGGTCCCTAAACCACGGCGCGGAGCAGCCGGGGTCCTCGCCGCAGCAGTCGCCGCCGTCGTAGTCGCAGGCGAGCGTGTTCTGCTCGACGTCGCAATACCCGTCGCCGACGAGCTGCGCGTCGCACGTCTCCGCCGCGACCGTAGCCGCGTTCACGGTGTAGCCGTTGGCCGCGACGTAGACGTCGCCCGCGCTCCGGAGCGCCTGCGCGGGCGCGCCGAAGACGTTGCCGTACCAGGCCGGGTCCTGGCCGCCGCGCACGTTGCACAGATCGCCCGCGCAGCCGACGCAGTCGATCAGGGGCGCGTACTCCGCCATGTACTCCGCGTTCAGGTTGTGGCAGTGCCGCGCGGACAGCGGCCCGCGGTCCGGCGCGCCGACGGCGTCGCCCGCGAAGGCCCGCTCGAAGTCGCCGAAGCAGCCGCCGAGGCCGAAGGTCGCCTCGGGGACGCCGGTCGGGGGATTCGGGTCCAGAGCCATGTGCGTCTCGAAGAGGCCGATGCGCTTCCGGGGGTCGAGCGCGTGCCAGTCCGTCCAGCAGGAAGGTCTCGCCGCTCGTGCCGCTCGCCTCGACGTAGGCGTAGCCGTCGGCCGCGTCCGTCCAGTCCGCGCGATCCTTCGGGCCCGTGTCCTGCGTGCCCGTCTTTCCGGAGTTCCACGCCCAGGGCAGGTCGCTCTCCGTCGGCGTCGTCCACGCGCACAGGTCGGAGTCGAAGGCGCAGTCCATCGCCGCGCTCGCGCTCGCGAGGCGGCGTTTCGTCTCCGCCGGCGGCCCGCCCGCGGGCTCGGCGCCGGCGGCGATCGCCGGAGCCGCGGCGGTCCCCGCGCGGCCGTCCGCGGCCGCGGCTTCCCGTCGCCGGCCGTCGTGATCCGCGGCGGCCGCCGCGAGCGCCCGCCGTCGCCGCCGGCTGTCGTCGCAGGCGTAGAGCGTCGAGCCGCCGTCGTAGGCCGCGCGGAAGCCCGCGCACGTGCCGCCCGTCGGCGGGCAGAGCGCGCCGCTCCACGTCGCCGCGTCCGGCGCCTGGCCGCTCGGCCGGAAGTCGAGGCCGGACGAGCCCTCGAGCGACGGGTCGCAGTAGGTGCCGCGCGTCGCGGCCGAGAGGAGGCAGTGCGAGTTCGCCGGGTCGATGCAGAAGCTGCCCCAGTTGTACCAGCCTAAAAGGCCGTTGGCGTCGCCGTAGGCGTAGGCGCCGTCGGGGCAGCCGCCGGCGGGGACGCCGTAGGACCACTTCGCGTTCCCCCGGAAGACGGGATCGACGGACCCGTCCGCGTAGACCTCGTACGCGAGCTCGCCGCCGGACCGCGTCGACGCCGAATCGCCGTTGTCCCGCGCGGTGAAGACGTAGGCCTTGTTCGCGCAGAGGAGGACGCGGTGCTCCTCGCAGTCGGCGGCGCAGGTTATCGTGGCCACGAGGGTCCGCTTCGCGGCCGCGAGCGTCGCCTGGTCCGCGTCGGCCGCCGTCGCGGCGTCCGCCGTCCAGATCTCTATTGCGTCGTTGCCCCAGGTGTAGGCGTTGTAGGGGTCGAGCGCGACGACCGTGTGGTACGCGCAGGCGTCGTCCCAGTCGCCGTCGAGCGCGGCCCGCGGCGACTCGCGGCCGCCCCAGTAGCTATCGTCCTCGTCGAAGGGCCGCGGGACCTGCCACCAGTCCGCGATGGCCTCGAGCGCGAGGGAGTCGCCGTAGGCCGCGAGCTCGCGGTCGAGGTCCTCGAGGCCCGCCAGGCCGGGCTTCATCGCGTCCGCGTCGTAGGCCTCCCAGAACGCGTCGCCGAGGCAGACGTAGTCGTTGTCGACGAAGGAGCAGTCGCATTGGGACGCGTTCGGGCAGGGCGCCCAGGTCTCGCAGGCGTCGCCCCGGCAGAGGCTCCCGCGGACGGCCGGGTGCGCGACGGCCACCGTCGCGCCCGTCTCCGGGTGCGTCGCGTCGAAGCCGTCGAAGGCGAAGCGGAGCTCCCAGTTCCCGGCGTAGAGCTCGAGGCTCACGGACCCGCCGAAGTCGACGTGCTTCGGGTCGAGCTCCGCGGTCCGGTAGGGCAGGCCGCCGATGGTGACGTCGCCGTCCCAGACGCACACGGTCTCGAAGGAGCCGAGCCGCGCGTCCGACTCGTGGCAGACGTTCCAGCCCGCGACGGGCGCCTGGACGACCGCGCCGTACTCGTCCTGCGCGCCCCACTGGGCCGCCGTGTAGCCGCCCAACCCGTGCTCCGCGAAGGCCTCGACGAGGGCCACGGCCCGCTTCAGCTTGTAGGCGTCGTGGAACGTCACGCGGCGTACGCGCGGCACCCGTCGTAGCCCGCGCACGCGTCCCAGCGCGGCATCTCCTCGGGCGCGTCGCAGACGCCGTCGCCGCAGGCCGCCTCGGAGAAGATGAGGTCGACGACGTTGTTCTTCAGGAACCCGTAGAAGCCGTCGAAGCCGCTGAGCCGCTCGCGGATCGGGTAGACGGATTTCGGGAAGACGCGCGTCGCGTTCGCGTCCTCGTAGAGCCGGTCCATGACGCTCAGCACCTCGCCCCGCCCGTTGCCGCCGATGGACCGCTGGAGCCAGATGACGACGAGGAAGATGAAGACGTAGAGCAGGTACACGACGAGGTTCCCGTAGCCCGCGAAGAGGCCCGCGTCGTACTTCATCCGCCGGAGGCAGTCCACGAGCACGCTGATGCTCAGCCACTCCGCGTCGCCGTCGCCGGCCTCCCGCTGGCTCTCGTCCTCCTTGAGCAGCGCCCGGAGCCGGCTCGCGTAGTTGCCCGCGGACTTGGGCACGAGCACGCGGCTCATCTTGCCGAACGTCGACGTCCGCAGCCGGTTCGGCCGCTTCGGCCCGAAGACGGCCAGGGACAGCCGGCCCATGGCGCCCTTCGGCGACGCCTTCCCCGTCGGCGAATTCGACGTCGAGAGCGGCGCGAGCGCGACGACCGCCGGCGCCGCCGCGCCGTCATCCGCCGCGCCGTCCGCGGGCGCGGTGCTGGCCGCCGCGGCGCCGTCGTCGTCGCCGGCCTTGCTCTCCGACGCCGCCGCGGCGACGGCCGGCACCGCCGCCACGCCGAGGGGCAGCACCTTCGCTGCATTCTCCAGCGGCGGCAGGCCGCGAGGCGTCGGCGCCATCGCAGAAGCGCTACAGATCCGATCCGGTGGAGTTTCGTTGGTCGATGCTGCCCTTTTCAAGCTTTTATTTGAGTAATCGCGCCAAAGACGATGGGCCCTCGCAGTTGACAGAATCGAAAAGGAACGATGGCCAACGAGGCGGAGCTCGACGTGCTCGAGGAGCAGCTGAAGAAGTACGAGGAGCTCATGGCCCTCGCGCTCGCCCAGGCGCCGCCGGGCGTCGCGCTGCCCGCGGAGCTCCTCGCGGCAGCCCCGGACGCCGGCGACGCCGCGAGCGGCGCGCCGATCAAGGAGCGGCTGGCCAAGGCCGCGGAGAAGTTCGAGCGCTTCGCGTCGCTCCACGACGAGGCCCTCGCGACGACCGCGACGACGAAGCAGGAAGCCGTCGACCTCACGGAGGACGACGCGCGGCGGCCGCCGCCCGCGCCGCCGCCGCCGCCGGCGGCTTCGACGCGCTCTCGCGCGCCGCGCGCCGGCCGCCGCCGGCGGCCCCCGGCGACGCGTCGCCCGCGGGCGTGCCCCGCGCACTCCTCCGCAAGCGCCGCGGCGAGAACCTCGCCGTCGCCTTCGGGTCGTGGCGACGGACCGCGGCGGCGAAACGGGACTTCGACGGCGGCCTCGTCGCCGGCGCGACGACGCTGCGGCGGTCCATCGCGCGCTGGCGGGGCGCGAGCGCCGCCGCGGCCTTTGGCCGCTGGCGCGCGGCCCTCGACGCGGCGTCGACGCTCGGCGCGGAGCGCGCGCGCGCGGCCCGGGCCGTCGCGGCGCTCCGAGTCGTCGCGGCGGTCGCGGCGCCCGCGGACCGGCGGCGCCGGGCCCCGCTCCGGCGCGCCTGGGGACGCTGGGTCGTGGGTGCGAGCGCGGCGGCGGAAGCGAGCGCGGCGGCGGAGACCCGCGCGGCGACCGCGGCGGACGCGGCGGCGGAGGCGCGCGCCGTCCGCGCGTTCCTGCTCGCCGCGGCCCTCGCGTGCGCCGTCGCCTGCGTCCTCGGGCTCCGGCGACCAGACGCCTGCGCGGAGATCTGGGCCGAGCGCGCGGCCGCGGCGTGCGTCGCGCTGTAAGGGTCGCGGAGGTGATCGCATCGCGGGGGCTCTGAGGCCCCCTCGCCGTCTCGGTCGCGAGCATCACGAGCAGTGGGCGGTGGAGCAATGGAGCTACTTGTGGGGGCGGGGTTGTCGGGCGCGAACGGTGTTGTCAAGGCTGTGACGGGGAAGAGCATCCTACAGCACTGCGGCATCGCCGTCAACCGCCTCCGGGCTACTGTGCTGGGCGAGTATATGGGCCACGCCCTCGCAGACAAGGCCGCAGACAAGGCGTGGAAGCTCGCCGAAGCTAAGCTCGCCGGGCCGGATCGCCACGAGCGGCTCCTCTTCTCGCAGCGCCTCGAAGCTCTGAGCACTTTATTACAGAGCGTGGCGTCGTCGCCGGCCGTCGAGGACGACTCGGTGAAGAAGGCTCTCGACAATTTGCGCTCCTCTCTCGAGCGCGCCTTCAACGCCGCCGGCAGCGCTGATGGACGCCGCTCTTCGGAAGCCGACATCGACAACTACAAGCAGGACCTGCAACTGGCGTTCTTGGTGGCGAACCACGACGACCGCGAGATGCACGCGACGGAGAACAGCTTCAAGTACGATCCCTACGACTCCGATTCGGATCAGGAAGCGTCCCTTCTCGGCGAGGGCTCCTTCGGAGCGACGCACACGATGCGCAACGTCGACGACGGCCACCTGTACGCGGTCAAGCTGATCAACATCAAGAAGGCGCGCGTCCCCATCGAGAACCTGCGGCAGGAAGCGTCGCGCCTCAGGACGCTCAATCATCCGAACATCGTCCGCTACTACACGTCCTTCACGAAGAAGAAGTTCTTCGCGATCGTCATGGAGCTCCTGACCGGCGGCTCGCTGCTCGAGCGCATCGACGGCGCCGCCGGCCCGCTCCCGGACGGCCAGATCAAGCGGTGGACGATCCAGATCGCGTCCGCGCTCGCGCACATGCACGCGCAACGCATGCAGCACCTCGTCGCCAAGTCCAAGGTCTCGTCCGCCGGCGGCAAGAACGCGGTCGGCGCCGAGCTCTACCGCTCGCCGCAGAAGGCGCTCGGCAACGCCTACGACGCGAAAGACGACATCTGGGCCCTGGGCTGCATGGTCGCCGGCGCGGCGACCGGCAAGTCGCTCGAGGCCCGCAGCGCGAGCGGCGCGGGCCTCTTCGCGCTCAGCAGCGACAAGGTCAAGAGCCTCGTCGACGAAGCCGCGTCGAGCACCTTCGGCGAGCTCGTCGCGGCCACGCTCGCGATCGAACCGATCGCGCGACCGGCGGCCGAGATCATCAAGCTCGCGCTGCGAAGCGGGAAGCCGCTCACGGCCGTGGACCGCGACGGCACGATCTTCGAGGAGGAGGACGACGATGCCACGTCTGATGCCTTGAGCGACGTCCCGTATGCGGAGGTCGTCGGTGTTGAATCTTCGAACGACGCGCCGAGCGAGAACGGCCTCGGCAAGGTGCGGGCGTCGGCGACGAGCGCCGGGTCGACGGCCAACGGCACGCCGACCGCCGCCGAGGCTGGTGCGGCGGCGTCTCGAGGCGACTTCGGCCCGCTCGTCGACCTCCTCCGGACCGGCACCGACGGCGCCAAGGAGTGGGCCGCGGGGGCTTTGTGGAACTTGGCTCTGAACGCCGACAACCGGGTCGCCATCGCCAAGGCCGGCGCCGTGGACCCGCTCGTCGACCTCCTCCGGACCGGCACCGACGGCGCCAAGGAGCGGGCCGCGGGGGCTTTGTGGAGCTGGGCTGGTCAGAACGCCGACAACCAGGTCGCCATCGTCAAGGCCGGCGCCGTGGATCCGCTCGTCGACCTCCTCCGGACCGGCACCGACGGCGCCAAGGAGCAGGCCGCGTGGGCTTTGTGGAGCTGGGCTGGTCAGAACGCCGACAACCAGGTCGCCATCGCCAAGGCCGGCGCCGTGGATCCGCTCGTCGACCTCCTCCGGACCGGCACCGACGGCGCCAAGGAGCGGGCCGCGGGGGCTTTGTGGAGCTTGGCTGTTCAGAACGCCGACAACCAGGTCGCCATCGCCAAGGCCGGCGCCGTGGATCCGCTCGTCGACCTCCTCCGGACCGGCACCGACGGCGCCAAGGAGCGGGCCGCGGGGGCTTTGAAAAACCTCACACGCGCCGCCGGGTCCCGAGCTGCGGTCGCGCAGGCCCTTTCCTTGAGTGCGGCTACGTCAGAAAGCGGCGTCGACGCGGCCATCGACAAGCTCGGCGGGATGTGAGTTCGGCCACCTCGCGCTCGCTTCGCGGACGTCGCGTCGCCATGCTCACGGCACTCCGAGACACCGGCGGCGCGGCCCCGGAGCGCGCGGCGCATCGCGGCGGCGACGGCGCCGCCGTCGTCGTCGCCGCCGCCGTAGGCGCCGGCGAGCTCGAAGAGGAGCTCGCAGTAGGGATGTGATAGCCGAAGAGCGTGTAGGAGAGGAGCTTGTTGTAGTCCGGCGGCGCCCCCTCGAAGCAGAACGGCGCGTCCGCGCCCTTCTTCCCGTCGAAGGAGTCCCAGTCGACGTAGACGACGCGGCCCGGCGCGAAGATTTTATGTAATTTGCGACAACATGACAGTCTTGTTTCCAACCCTGAAGATTCGATTGGGACATCTTCGACAAGTCGGGGGAAAATGACAATGATAAAGATGGATTGTAGATATTGGCTTGGTTTGCTTTTCTTTCCTTTTCTATTTTTCGCGTATTCGGGCCTTGTCAGGGGCGTGTTTAATAACTTCGTGGCGGCCATGCTCATCATTTTCCTTCTTGCCTTTCCCTGTACTTTCTTTTCCTTCTTCATATTAGTCAACGACGCGAGCGCTACCTGATTTCCGGCCTCAAGTTCGCCGCCTGGAAGTCCGCCGCGCGCTCCCTCTCCCTCCGACTCGAAGACGGCGCGCGCCGCCTCGCGGACCGCGCCGCCCTCGCCACCCTCACGACCAACCTCCGCCGCGACGGCTAGGGGGCGGCCTCCGGCCGCCGCCTGGCTCGTGTCGCCGTGGTACCCCGCGAACCCCCCTGGATAAGCCCCCGGGGCCGTAGAGACTGATGCCGAAAACTTGAAGGCCGCGCGCTTGCATCGACGTTCTTGCATGTGACGCCCTTCCAGCGCTTCCAGTGCGTCGGCACGCTGTCGCATACCTGGCCCCACGGGATATGTTAGGCGGCGCCCCATCGGTCTGTAAAACAACTCGCGTACTAGCGATTCTCTAGAGTGTAGACTCGGAGCAGCAAGTCCCTCGAGTGGCGCGCGGCGTTACTCGCGCGGGCCCCGCCGCCCGGCGGCGCTCACTCGTCGGGGGCCGCCTCCCCGCCGAGGGCGTCGAAGAGGCCGTCGCGCTCCTCGGCCGTCTTGACGCGGATGAGGTAGGTCGCGGTCTCCGTCGCGGACGTCATCGCCGCGACGCGGAGCGCGGTCTCGCCGTGCTTGGCGACGGTGGCGTGCGGCGGCTTGCCCACCTTGACGTTGAGCATGAGCGAGTGGATCTGCTCGCGGCGCATGACGACGCGCACGGAGCCGTCGAGGCCCCGCTTCTTCGCGACGGCCTCGTCCGCGGGCGGCGCGGCCTCGAGGACCTTGAGCGCGCCGACGCCGCGGTCCTTCCACGCGGGCCGGTCGTCGCCCTTCTCGAGCACGAAGAGCTTCGCGCGGTGCTTGGCGACGCAGCGCTCGCTCTCCTCGCCGTTGGACACGTTCGCGGGGTCGTCGCCCGCGTCGTCGCCGCCGGCGGCGGGCTCGGGCTCGCCGTCCGCGGCCTTCTCCGGCGCCCCGAAGCCCGCGCCGTCGAAGGCCGCGGGCGCGCCGCCGCCGCCGAAGCCCCCGAAGGCCGGCGCCGGCGCCGCGGCCGCGCCCCCGAAGCCCGCGCCC